CGCAGAAATTACAACTTAATTCGAGTATTATATTCGTATTACATGAAGCAAATGGTAACTGCTTTGACTCCTGCCCTTTGTGTTGGATGCGCTGCGGGCACATCTTTCCACCGTATTGTAAATAGGTCATCACATTTTAGGGATTCGAAGAGGTTCCGACCATGTTATACTGACGTCGTTGACTGCAGATTGCTAAGAAACAAGCTTGCTGTCGATCTCCAGGACGTACTACACTGGACCTTAAGCTGTCCCTGGATGACTTTTAGAAGCAATTTGTAATAACCAACATGAAAAAACCAGAACACAGATTGGCGACTCGAGAATCCTTCATTCTTACGCCAATATGTAACCAACAATAAGGTTATTATACATAAGGTCTAAGAATAATTGTTACAACAATAAATCATGATAATACTACTGACAGTTTTCTGTCATCCACCAAACAGCGAACGATGAGACGGTGACTGTTGGATTGATGACTCCGGCGAAAAATATGGAGGAGTTTGTTTTGAGCAAACAACCGTGAATTGATCGTTCAGTCTTCAACTACATTGACACTCCCCGGCAAAAAACCGATCCATCCCTTTTTTCTATCGCGACCAATACACGTTGACTTGGATGCCATTGCGAAAACCTGGGTCACACGGACAAAGCTGAAATGGAACTCGCAAATCCCCGTCTTTTCACCATAAATTACCACTGCTATCGCTTGTCACTCATTCTGCCTCAGTTCTAGTAACGCTGACGTATGCAAACCTCAGTCGTCTACACTCGCGCTTTCGGGCTAGTGGGACCACAGCCTGTATAGAAACGTTCATTCCCAATCATTGATTCGACGGCTAAACATTATCTCCGTGTGCACTTCATTCCCAGCACTAGGATCCCCGGAGTATACGAACAATCTGCTGTCTTTAACATCAATCAATTCATTCACGGGTGTAGAAGACTCAAAACAAATCCAGAAGTAAGCACGACAAAAATCTTAACAAAATTATGCAATAACAACAAGGTACGAAAACAACAAGTAAACACAATGAATCCAAAAAACACCGATTGATATGACACACCACACATATATACAAACAGTACAAATAACCTCACAGATCATGTCTCGGACACAAACAAGATTAACCAACGATTACATTCATTGGAACCCCCACAATTACTTAACACAAACATATGTATAATCAATACCTCAAATGTTGTGGATTCTGGCTTGACGAGCTACCCTCGAAGAATTGCAGGACTTACAGCAGTACGCATACATTCCTTCTCAGGTTGATGATACAAGTGTAAGACGTCCAGACACGAACAAAATTATCAACAGATAGATGAGAGATTATACCAATTCAGTATATACAACATGAACATTTGTACAAAATAACACACCGAGTACGATGGACTGCGCTTCGACGTACTACCATTGAAGAATTGTAGGACTTACAGCAGTACGCCTACAAGTCTTCTCGGGTTGAAGCCCTAGGTTGGAAATTGTCGCAGAGTTCATTTGCTGACTTCCTTCTATCAGCTATATTCTCAAAACTGAACGGTAACACGCCCATGTCATTGTGTCGTAGAACATAGATGACTAACAAACACACGACGTATCTGATCAACCATGCGTAGAAACAGAGTAATTTACACCAAAGATAGTAAAATTCAAACAATAATTTGAAAATTGATATGGCTTTATTCGTGCAAGTCAGTTTAACAATTATCCTCTTGGCTTATCCTCTCTAAGCTGACCATTGACTTTCGTCCTTTCAAACGGACTGATACTATAATAGTCATAGCATAAGACACTTGAGTTCATGGACGTCCCTTTCATTGCGGATGACAACACCAACGACGACTGAGCAATACAAGTCGATGAACTCAGTGGTGCATCAGAAGCTGTTGTTGTTTGGCTTTTAGAAGGTTGTCTAACCGTAGGATTACCGCCACTGCTATCTTGTATGAAATGCGTTTGTCTCGCAACTTGTAACCTATCTGTTATGGATGTCCTACGGAAGCTGTTACACTCACTAAGTTTTTGTGGATTACTAGACACCATGGAGCTTTCCACTGAGACCCTTTCGTCGTAAATGATTGCACTTGGCTCTCGGACTGCTCTATTCCAGAGGTGGGATGCAATATACTGTCAAACTTTCTCATAGATTGATTGACAGTATCTTTTACCAGTTTCAGAATATCATCGAACTTCGGCTCGATACGTCCATTATGGATAAGATGGAATTATAATGGACTTATACTCTACCACAGTGCTCAAGTTTTATACTTATATCAATAATTTCAGCTCGATACCTTCATCCTCTATACGGGAGCCTATCTTCACCCACTTTCTTCGCAGTCGAGTAGGTAGGCATCTTGCTGTTACCTCTAGGACGGAACTTGAGTTCAGATCGCTCATGCAATTCATCGAAATCAATGCATTCTTGTAAGTCATCAGATTATCCGAAAACTCACAGAGTACCTTGGAGCCATTTTGTAATTGACTACCATTACCTTTAACATTCTCGAATAGGTTCCTCACAATCATCGAAGGTCTTCCAAACCTTTGGCGCAGGATACGCATCGCCTCAATATATCCTTCGTTTGGGGACATAAACCCGCAGCCCTGAAAAGTTATTGAAGCAACTCCAGTGCAGTATCTCATCAAATAAATTAGCTTCATCTCATCATTTAATACAAAACCGCTCAACATGATCTCAAACTCCTTTACCACCTTTAAATAACCAGCTGGGTTTCCGTCGAAACACTGGGGTTGCCTATTATCCCCAGACCGCGTAGGGGAACGACAGACTCATCATGCTGAGCATCAAACACATCCTTACGTGTAACAGGCAAATCAACATTACTTACTTTCCTGCTTGCTTCCAAGACGCTTCGTTCCTTCTTTGACCCAGACATCATTGAACTTGACCGAACAATCCAGAAAAGTTCCAGATAATACTTGTCCAAAGAAGACTGGCCGGCACCAGAAAAGACGGATAGAAACTATCGGAAACTGTCAGCCAAGTCTCATAAACTGTTAATGTCCAGCTCTTGCTACGCTGGACCTCATGCTGTCCCTCGAAGACTTTCAGAAACACTTTGTATAATCCAACGCGAAAACCAAGACATTGATTGGCGACTCGAGACTCCTTTATTCTTACGCCAATATGTAACCAACAATGAGGTTATTCCACAAGGTTTCTGATAGTATATTTATCTTCCCTGAACAGCGAACGATGAGACGATGACTGCCGGATGGATGACCCGAAAACATATGGAGGAGTTGGGTTTGAGCAAACAACCGTGAATCGATCGTTCAGTCTTCAACTACATTGACTAACCTACTATCAGCTTTGGACGATTGGACATCATACTGGGACATGGATGTTCCAGTCCACGTGGTCTTCCTGGACTTTGAGAAGGCATTTGACAGTATTTATCTTGACCTTCTCCTACACAAAATAAGCCAGACAGGTATAGTTGAGCCACTTCTGTCATGGTTAAAGGACTACCTAGCTAACAGGCGACTTTGCACTAAGGTCAATCGAGTTCGATCATATTGGCACAGCCCGTCATCAGAACTGTCACAAGGTTCTATCCTAGGACCACTGATGTTTTTGGTTTTTTATCAACGATCTACCATGCCTTCTAAGCTGCCCGACTCTTCTATACGCTGACGACGTAAAGGTATGGAAGGCGATAAAGTGTCCGGAGGACTCGGATACGCTGCAGGAAGATCTAAAACCTCTCGCCAGTGGCATGACTTTCAACCTAAAAAAGTGCGAAGCAGGGAAGTTGCGCACCTGTAGACTGCAGAATGCAAGTTACACCCTGTGCAATGAAAGCTTGTCCTGCACAACGTCGGAACGCGACTTCAGTCTAGTTCTAACGGAAAAAATGGACACAAGCGTAAATTACACGGAGGATGTAGCGAGGGCATATGCGGTCATGCACTTTACACATAGACAGGTGCACTCACTCCTGTGCTCTTTCTAAGGTTGTACAGAACATACCTCAGACAGCACCTTGAGGTGCATAATATTATTGCACCCCCAATGCTTAGAAGAGACTCCGACCTCTTGGAAAGGGTCTAAAGACGGGCAACAAAAGGAGTGGTTGGTCTCCGAAATAAACCATATGATGAAAGGCTGAAGAAATTAGGCCTGTTCACACTTAGCTACCGTCGGCTTAGGGGGGATTTAATTACTGCCTACAAAATAAAAAATGGCCAGGGTCACTCAAACAAAGGTGTTTTGCCCTTGAGTAGGTATAGGCTCCCACGGGGGAATCCTAGAAGGATAGCTCACCAGAGGGCAAGGACCTGGGTGCGCTCCCACTTCTTTTCACTGCGGGTTTGCCGTCCCTGGAATTCCTTACTGGCAGATGCAGGTATGGCACCGTCCTTGGATGCCTTTAAGCGAGGGCTGAACGACCATGCAGCGACACAAGGACTGCATCCAAATGGCCCATCCCCTTAAAATCCCAGGCACCATTCAGGGGTAGACAATTAAACATGTCGTTTTACTACTTTACATTCTCCCCCGTCTTCCTCTCCTGACAGCTTTAACTACACTTATTATTATCATCATCATTATTACCGATATATATATATTATTCACATTATTCTTCAAATTTAATGAGCTGACTGTTGTTACGTTTTCTTATTTCTTTTTCTGTCTGCTGGTCTGAATAACTTCACTAATTATATCTATTACTATTACTATTAATATTATTATTATCTCTTTTCTTTTGTCGACGATACCGGAGGACTAACTGGTGAAAGGGTTGACTCCATTCACAGTAGTAACAGTCTTAATACACCTCATACTACAAACCACATGTAATTAATCCAAGCACTACTCCTTTTGGAGTCAAGCAAATCTACGACAGTCAAGTGGCGGGACGAGCTACGCAGAAGTTTACCGAAGATCAGGAAACTATACCTTACAATCAAGAAGCGAGCTCAAAGAAATCACTGGTTTATACTAGCTCATAATCAGGATATTGGATATTGGATAAGAGGCGGGCAAATTGATAATATTCCCTCCTAGATGAATGCTTCTGGTGAGGACAGGTCGAATTCAGGTAAGCACTAGTGAAAGATTTTTTAAAATGTGTTAGATCCAGCACCATATATCACAGTATTTTCCTTTCATTCACTCACTATTATAGTAGGTGTCATATGCGTTGGGTGGTTTGTTCTTGGCTGTTATACTGCAATGTCATGGTTCCTTGTTCCTGTTACTGTATGGTTTGCTATCTTATCTTCACTTTCGAAGGAATGTACCTGTCTATTAAAGTCCCAACACCCTGTTGGAAGTGATTACGTTGACACAGGAATCATGTTGAAGCACTCACTTGACATTGTGTTAAGTATACGGATCTGATTCCTTCCAGATGTATGGAAAATTCTACTGCCCATACGACAAATAGGAGAAAACAAAGAAAACAATAAAACTCAAATCCCAAAGTCGTGTGACCACAATTGATATGATTATGAACAATAAATTGTGTTCGAAACGTCATCCAGTATACAATACTGTTTCACTGTGATACATCTAGTAAACAAACTAATATGGAATTACTTACTACCACAGTGCCCAAGGTTTACACATATATTAACATGTCTTATTCATTGTATTGAGTGTTTTGGGTCTCCACACCAATTTCAGAGTTATGAACGTCTCCCTTGCTTTCCTAACCCTTATGCTGACTTTTTGATCTCTTCCTTTCGTACTGACCACGTCTAGTTGGTATGGTGCCTCCTATCTAGGTGGACCAACTATACGATTTCCCTCAGATTTCTCCCGTGAATATTGTTTGGTGTTTGTTGTTATTGGTTAGATGTCTTCATCACGTCCGTTGTCTCCACGCTCATTTGAACGAAGTTGTGCCTTCTCCCCTACTTCTGCCAGATTGTTGGATTTTGCTGGCGCTTCGAGTCAGTGACATTTTTAGGCAATTCATGAAAACACCGAACTGTTTAAACCTAATAAAGTAGAGGAGGACTCGGTCCGGTGAATTTTGGTTAAGTGAAGCAATAAAGCACATTACAAAATTGTGGGTCTACCATCAATAATGTTATTTTTCAACGTAGAACTTCCGTCAGAAATGCGGCTATTCATGTTGTCACACCATATGTCACACAATGGTAAAGAAAAGAGAAAAGTCAAAAGAATGATAAACAAGTAAACGGGGGAAGGAATTGTAACGTGGAAGATCATGATGACTTGATAGGCATAGTAGATTACAAAGTGTCAATGTATCTTTGCCACTGAGAACTATTTCGAGATATCACCAACAGTCGATTCAGTGGTTCTTAGCTTCTTAACAACCCTCAGACAGTTGAAGACTTCATTGATTGACGACAGCTCAATCCTATGTCGGCCAATACTGTCCTACAAGAATCAGTCCGAATTACACCTGGTTAGTTTTTGATGGAAAAATTAGTGTTCTTTAGCTTCTAAGTATTTCCAAAATCTGTCAGAGTTCTAGTAAATAACTCTCCTTTAGTTCTGATGAATTAAACCATTTCAAATGGGGTGTTTAATCCATTGAGGTGTGACTCCTTAACCGGGTTCCTTGAAACACCAAGAACTAATAGCTGTAGACTATCGTTGTCGTGGCTCAATGTCATTATCAGTGACGTGCATTCATTCTTCAAGAATTCTCATATCCATTTAATTCTTATTATTCTCTATTGCTCGGCCATCTCTAATCCCTAATTCCAATAAAGTTAACTATACATTTTCTCAGTATAGTGCTGCACGCTTGTTTGAACATTAGGTTAGTGTTAGGTTATATGATTGAATTTCTACCCCTGTTGATTACTATAAGTTTCACTTTTTATTGAAATATCGGAGGGATATATCCAATCTTGTAAACACTTTTGATGTTCATCTTATAGTTGAATTTCTGATTTATTGTATCCATGCAAATCAGTTTAACTCCTATCTTTTTTCTGCTATTCCAGACTTTTGTAGAGTATGCCGGTGTGAGGGGACTGCTACCAAACCTCTGTTCCATCCTTGTTTGTGCACTGGTAGTATAAAATATATTCATCAGGATTGGTAAGTACATATAGCTTCTTAGTATTTTAGAAGGTGATTACATTTTGATGACTAAGGTTCATTATTTTCAAATAATTCTTTTCTAACTGATGACGCGCAACACTGTTAGTGAATCTAGTGTTCAATTTGATGCACTTTGCTCTGGGCAACAGTGATAGATTCCCAGGGCTGCGATAACTATTATGACCAGTTAACTGCCACAAAAATTTACATGGTTACTCAGTTCTGGATACCGTTTTATTGTCTCTTATCTTAATTTTTCTGTCATCTTTGGTCTTATTATTTGACTTTTAGTCATTGGGTTCTGAGTTCTTTTCCCACCCCAGGTAACTACGTCTTAGAGACTGGATAACACCAGCAATTATTTTCAATGTGTGGTTAATAACCAGGTAACCAGAAGATTGGATGCTGTAGTTATGACGTATGCAAATAATTTTCTCTCAAAACCGTTTGAAGTTCAATGGAACTTAATTTTCAGTATAAAACTTCTCACAAATGTGCACCAGTCCAAGTTACCAAACTTAAAGCGCATGCAGAGGTAAAGAAACACAGAAAAGTATAATCACATTAAGAATAGTGTGAATTTAACGAATTTAAATCATATTCCAGAATCTGAATGACTTCAATAACCTCCTTTCTTTCTTTTGTCCTCGTCACCCATGTTTGTCTATCCTGTTTATGTCCTCCTATTTTGTTTGATTAAATTAGATCTACTTGAATTGATGCAATTTTGCGTAAAACTGATCCATTAGTTGGTCAAATATTGCCCAGTGTATCACAAACCTAATACTTCAGATAACAACGCATACTTGCCGCCTTATAACGTGTTTAATGTCCACTCGTTTGGTAACAGTTAACGGCTGAAAAACTTATTGGTTTCAACGTAGAACTTTGCACAGAGCTGCAACAGTTCGAGTTGCTACACTCCATTTTACACACAACGCATTAGAAGAGAGTAAAAAGAGATTTAAAAGAGAGATGATAAATAGAAATGAGGCAAAAAAGAAAACAATACAGAAGAACAATAGAATTAATTTGATACTGTAAGTCACAAATAGTGAATGCATCTGCGCCTTTGAGAACAATTTTGAGTCATATCACCAATTGTCTCCATCAATTCGTTTTTATCATCCAGATGACCCCAACCAGTCGAGCAGTCTACACCTCCCTACGTGGCTAGCTTTAACTAATTATTATAGATTTCATTGACTAATGAAGCCATGTTTTTAGTTTGATCACCATTATCTCTATTTCAACCTGATTCGATGTCAGCTAACCTTGCCCATCGGTCAAGGCTAGACATGTGTAACACATGTCCTAACCATCTCAATCTGTGTAACTTCACAACTTGGTTAATTTCTCCTCCTTACCTAGCACTCGGCCGATGCCTAAGTTCAATATTGCTCACCTTATTATATCACCTAACGTGGGAGATAAAATGCAGACACCTATAATCAAATACAGCTATCCTTTTCGTATCTCCCACTTTCAATGGCCATGTCTCACTCACAGCCATAACGGAGGATAGGGCGAACTGCTAAGCAGTACACGCGTCCTCTGATCGTTAACCAGTTGGATATCACGTCTACTAAACCAGATATAGTGTAGGTTGACATGTGCCAAACGAGCCTTCTAAATCCCTGGTGAGAATTCGACAGCGATCAACTCTCTGACACTGGCTGATGCAACTCCCCAAATAAGCGAAGTGGTCCACAAGCTCAGCCACCAGTTCACACTCCCTGTGTCTAAGCTAGGAGTCAATGTAATCCAATTCTGTAGCATCATCTTAGGTTTGCAAAAGGGAGTGAATCGAATGCGAATCATTCGGAGATTTTTTCTCAAGGTGTTCAGAAGACTGCATTTTGTCAGCGTCTTCACCTAGGAGCAGGACTTTATCATCCGTATATTCTAAGTCGATGAGATTGTTCTCTGGCAACAAGTCAATCCCTGAGTCGCTAAGGTGAGTTGGGGTTAAGCCCATTAGTAGTACATCTATGATGGAATTAAACAGAAGTGGGGACGATGGGCATCCCTGACGGACAAAACTGGTTATCACCACTTCATATGACATCTCTCCGTAGGCTTTTATCTGACTGGTTGCATGGGTTCGAGTAGAGTGACTGCGTTGATCAGTGGAATGTATTTTCGCGGCATTCCTATCATAGCCAAATGTTGCCACAGTAACTCCCATTCGATGGCATCGAATGCCGCTTTCAGGTCAAAAAATATGGCAACTGTTGGATGCTGGTAAGTATGTCTATATTCCAGAAGCTGTCGAAAAATGAAGATATGATAAATACATCCTTTTCCTGGTCTAAAACCTTCCTGGTTCTCTCATATTTTTGCCTCTCGAGCACCACAGTCTACGCATGATTATTGAGCCTAGAACTCCAGATACCGTGTTGATCAAGCTAACCTCCCTGTGATTATCACAGCAAGACTTTCGTCCCTTCTTGTATATCGGGGTTATCAATGGCTTACACCACCTAGACGGGACTATCTCCGATCCCCAGACATTGCCTAATATCTTGGTGGACGCAGACAGTAAACCGTCCCCTCCGTCGTTGAACACCTCTGGAGTCATTCCATCAGGTCCCACTGCTTCGCCTTGTTTCAGATTAGAGACAGCTTTTGTAACCTTAGTTAGGGACAAAGGACCCGTGTTTATATACCATTAAATGGTGAAAAAAGCCTAGTAATACAGACAAATAATAACTCACATATATCTTCTTAACCTTTATTTATTTACGTAAAAAAATAACAGTCAGCGTATTATTCGCACATGTGTTCGTAATTTCTGTATACATTTTAGTCTTGTTCGTTGGCTTGAATATAGTAAAAGAAATACCTGTGAGTTATGCAATCATCAGTTCACATTTACGCGAATTTATGCCTCCGGAACACCGCGGTTTTTACCACCAACTGTTTTAATTTGTGGATTGGCCAATAGCTTGCGTAGATTTTTACTAAATTGGATTCATCTGTCAATTGTTTTCACTGCTTGGCTAGTTGTGGTTCCTTTATCTGCATGTCGTATGTATCGATGCCTTTTTACAGGCAGTGTTTTCTCGCTGTTGACGCTCCCATTAGATATGGTTTCTACAAAACACTTACTTCAAGACTGTATTCAGGTAAGATAACATTGTATCGAAAGTCACATTTACTTAATTGAAGGTAATTTTCCGCGTTGACCTCCCCCTTTGTTCTAATATTTCAGTATTGTATGTCTATAAAGCTCACTTTTTGACATTCCGTAGTTATTAAGAAAAGCATAGCATTAATCCGGACGACCTGTTAATATTGGTACTAGTCAGGTGCACGGGTGTTGATTTCTCAGTCGGGTTTTTTGTAATGTTAAGAATGATTGGTTAACTTCATAGGTTTTTAATAATTGCGTTAATGAATTTGAATCACAACAACTAAGATACTAGTCTGTGTCGTAATCCGAAACACTTCAGACTGGTGTAAACCACAAGATGGAGTATACTGCTGGTTGATATGAGTAGTTCATTTACCACGTAACCATGTTGATTCAGCTCAAAAGACTGAACCTTTCAAACCACCCGGACTATGACTGGCTGCATATGTAAATTGGTAACATGTGGAATCGAATTCTTTTTTCTTTACAAATTACAGAGGTGAAACTTAACCATGGTTTGCTTTGGAAATTAGTGTAGGTCAGATAACGATATTTTATCTGCTTGTTACCGTAAGTGGCAATTAAGAAGTCAGGCCCAATAGCCACATAGGTACTATTGGTTGGTGAGTGAGTTGGAAAACTTTTATCTTTCTAAATAAGAATAAATGTTTGGAAACTCTTAGTTCAAAATCATTCACAATGGTGCAAGTGTAGTAGCTTATCATCATCGAGTTTCGGAGCTTCACATTCCCACACTTACGTTCATCAACTGTGTAGTTTCTCAAAATATAGTAACCTATAGTCAACCACTTCTGTACAGAGTTCTGCATCGATTTATCACTGATAGACAATATCAATCCCGTCTTACTTATTTGTTATTTTGACTGACACTTTGTTGAAATTCACTTTCTAAAGATGTAGCAGATTGTTTCAATGAACAGTGTACTCACAAATTGATTAAATGTCATTATTGCATTTCATGTAATATTACTAGGGTTTCATAATCGTGATTTTCGCTCTGGCTGCATTTTTGGGTTATGTCTCATTAAGAGAACAACTTCTTCAGGGAGCACCAGCCTGGTTGGAACGTGATGCTCATGCAGGTAATTGTGTATTTAGTGCAAACAATTCATATCGTTGCTTTAATTTTTTTTAATCACCTACATCATATATGATATCACTTTCACTCGACGCCTACATGTGTGACTGATTATATGTGTAAGTGAATTTGAGCTTAAAATTATTGTCTATATATTTTGACGAATCACTTTCAAAAGCTGTTCAATCGTATTTATATACCAGTAGAAAATTCACTGAACCAATCAGGCATTGGTTATTATGTTTTAGATGTATCAAGTATTGTGAGGTATAATCTAGAAGGGAATACATAGATGAGGACTAAGAAACGAAAGTTGATAATTCATAGTAAATGTAGAAACCGAACTAATCAGTCGGAATGTACAGAAAGGAAAAAGGCTAATGGAAATACGGCGTTTTTATAAAGTATGGGCGAGGAATGCAATGTTATCGATGAACGACAACAGTTATGATAATAATAACAATTGCAAAATAATATAATACATATAGTGCTTTTAAATGCGGAGGGCTGGTTTCAGATCCAAAATAGACAATGATTCAACGTATCCGAAGTTGTTTCGTTCGATATTGCGGAACTCTGTGTAGCGCTGTGAAGTAGTTAGGAGGGGGTACCCGATGTCCACAGTTGACAAGGTTTTCTGGGGTAGAACTACTAGTATTTCTCTTTTCTCCTCTGGCTAGCTAGGCTGGACAGTGTTCTAGAATAAGTTAGTGGACCTGACGTTGTGTACGGCCTATAAACCTTACTCTACACGAATAAGTAAGGGTAGCCAAAAGTGGTATTCTATCCTTAACGTTTGACTCGATTAACTGTCTACTGGAGAATGTGATACGTAAGTCAGCAGCTTGATATGTCTACATATGACATTTACGAAGGCTGTTTCTAAAACTTTCTGCTTCAGTGTTAGCTTTTAATTCTAGTTTCATAAAGAGGGTTTTTTTAGGAACACTTGCTATTTTCGGCGACAGAAGTTTTACTTTCATGCTTTTGTCGATAAATCTGGGTGAATACCTGTTCACCAGTGGAGTTTCATGTAGTGATTTTATTCATTCTCTATCTTATCCTCCGAACAGATTTTTCGAATCCTTGAGCATAGAGTACGTACTAAGTTTTGCTTTCGGATCAGTAGGACAAACCTCGTGAAGTTAATAAATTGTCTGGTCCATGTTGTTTTGTGGTAGAATGATCTTTCGATTGAGCAGTCCTCTCTTCCAGTAATCAGTACATCCAGGAATGGAGACAGTATGTTTCATTTACGTTCTAGGTTAGATTTTGTTGATTAATGTGCTGCGTTGAAAGTTTTGAGGAGATTAGTCTACATTAAATTTTTCATCGCAAATTATAAAAGTTTTATGAACGTATCCTCCTGCAGAGGTTCAGTCAACTAATCAAAGGATCAAGGATGTTAGTTTCGAGACTCGTCTTGAAGCAGTCAGCTAAGAATAAACCAAGAGGAGATCCCCTAGTCACACCATCTTTCTGTGTGTAGAATTGTTCATTGAGTTTGAAGTGGATATTATACGTTTATGCTGGAGTTAGTTCCTTCAGGCGGCTGATGGGAAGAGGAACTTGTAGGTTGTTGGTTTCAATGTCGTCGCAGATGAAGCATATTGTCTCAGTCAAATAAATGCTTGTAAATAGAAAGGTGACATCTAGGGAAAGCATTTTTCTTTTCAACACATTGATATCTTTCGCTGAATCGATGAAATCAAATGTATAATTAAAGCTATAACCTGTCAAATGTCTGCTTACTGGTTCAAGAATATCCGGTAGGCACTTCACTGTCTGATGATACGGTGAGTTGACCGTATCCATAATAGGTCGAAGTGGGACATCCTTCTCATACACTTTGGACAATCCATACAGTCTTGGAATAATTGAACTGCATGATTTTATTCATTCATAAGCCTAAGATGTAGTGACTGAATCTTCTTTAATTTTCTTCAGTCATTTTGTAATGAGGTCTTCTGTTCTTTCTGGTTAGGTGATTTGAAGAATTCGGTATTGTATGATTGTAATTTTGTTAATTTTTCGACAATGTGATCTGCTCATTACTGCAGTTCCATTGTCCTTATCAGGACGGACGAGGATTGTATCTTGCTTTTCTTGGAGTTGTTTGAGTTGTTTTCTGTGACTATAACACAGTCGTACACGCAAGTACTTGTATCACCTATCGACGACTGAAGCTTTGAATTGTTTGAAATCTTTTTCAAAACTAGATGACAAATCAAGTGTCTGCGAGATTAAATTATCGAAATGGAGTTGTTTTTTGCTATAATTCGTCGGTTTTTCTCATTACCATGCAAACTTTTAGACCAAGTGCCAGGACTTGGACTTGGATGGCAGCGAGAGGAAAATTTGAAAAGTTAAAGACATATGTTTCAGGTTTCTGTGAAAACTATGAGGTAGTTTCAGACTTTTTGTTAGTCGGGAACTAGTATCTGCGCAACACTTTGTTTCTCAGCAGATAGGTCGTACAAAGCATGGCTTGTTTGTGATATGTTGCTTCCAAAGTGAGGTAGATGTGAGCGGATGCTGTCAGTGTGATTTAATGTATGACATTTTAATGTCCTCGAATAAGAGCAAATGTGATTCCGGTGGGGATTGTTCCAATAGTGTTTTGGATACTCATTCTTATCCATGCATTGTTTTCGAAAATGAAGCTCTGTGTTAACTTCAACAAGCTTGACAGAGAAACGCAGCAATATGTTCAATTCCCTTACTTTCACCGGATCCTTGGAATTCTTTAATGAGCGCAATAACTCTTCGAAATTTTCAGCGTGGCACACTAATCAACAAAATTCATCCTAAAACGTGAATCAAACATTCTGTCTCCATTCCTGGATGTACTACTTACTGGAAGAGGACTACTCGATCGAAAGATCATTCTACCGCAAATTTATATGGACCGGACCGAAACTCTACTGGAGAACGGGTATTCACTCAGATTCATCGTCAAAAACATGAATGTATATCCTCCATCGCCGAGATTGCAAAAGCACTTAATACATTTACCCACCCTAGCATGGCCAGAGTAATTTTCTTACCATAATATCATAGTAATAACAATAATAATGAGCTTTGGCATCAAACAGTGAAATGAAACAAAATCTTAGCAAGAAAATACCCCTGGGCTTGCTAAGGCAAGTGGGTGTGTGCAGTGCTTTTGAACTCAGTCTTTCAGCCTCATGTTTCTAATAGCCAATGTTTTAGCTTCACTTAAATGACATATTCAAAGTCTTGTACGAAATTGGAAGACCGTAGATTATTTTTGAAGCATTTAAGAGCTTCTGCCCGATGTTGAAATTTGACCTTCTCTCCAGGCTGGACAATGTTCTCAAATACTTTTACGGATATCACATTGCATAAGACTGATATATTTTGTCGCAGAGGAACAAGTAAACTGATAAATACACATTCGGGTGATCAGAAACCGTATCTCATTCGCAAGGTATAATTCGTCGAGAAGGAAATTTTCATCAGTGTTATTTTAACTTTTTGTGATTCAAAGTATGGTTTTCAGTTCATATCACCTATTCACGTACACCTTATGTTTAGGTCTCTGTACGTACCGAAATTTCTTAATCACTAAGAAATTCGACTTGATGTGTCGAGAAGGACAATAAAAGCGTAGATAATTAAATTAGTCATTTCAGAGAAAAAGACTACATCAAAAACATCTCCCTAGGTTATATATAAAGCTTTAATCGCGTTTCTACATCGCATTAAGTCATTCTTCACCAGTCTTTGTTAACCCATTTTCTTCCTAAAATCACTATGGCGTTTAGTTAAAACATACAGAAGAATCATCTCACCTCATTGTGGATAAATACATTTTCATTGGGCACAAATCCATGTCATATCAATAATGTTTTATCGAAATGTTCATATTAAAACTTTTTTTACTAACTGTTCTTTTTGTGTCTCATAAAGCTGAGTGAACTGTCACTGTTCGGATAAAACCTTATTAAGACGAAAATAACATGGATGCTTGTTTGATGCATCATGTGGTATGTTTTTTAAGTGTACATACTTGATATATTAATAACTAACTGGCATGAAATAAATAACCATTAGAAAGCCAAAAGCTTTAGTCTTTATGTTCCCTAACTTGAACTGTGAACAGCATATAAATTACTGTTCAACAGTGGTTATTTTGGCAACAGCAGTCTTTCATTAGATTGATTACCATGATTTGCTTACAATAATAATCCTTACGATTCCACACGTTTCAGAAGCGCGCGCTGCTAATGCTCCTGCAGGTCACGCTGGACAACCTTTCTTTCCGGATCTCTTCAATATTTTTGGCGTAGCAAATGGTGGCTTAGGAGCTGCAGTTTTTGGTGAAGGAAATGAAGATCCTGCTGAACCTCAGGTCTTCAACAATGATATACAACGTGACCGGACGCTACAACAAGATGATATTGTAAATGCTGATCCCACTCCAAGTTCATCTTCCAGTCTAATCTCCTCTGTTATGAATCAAGAAGCACCAGTTGTTGATGTATCGGAGTCATCAACAACAATATCCGGAGTAACAGACACTGTCAATCGTAGATCAACATCAACTTCACAACAGTTAGCCTGGTATGCTGAGGATCCAGGTATTAACTTGGGTGGAGACATTCCAGATGAAGAAGCTAGAGTGAATGATGCAGAAGATGCCGATGGTGTAGCAGAAGCAATGAATTGGAAACATTTATTAGGTTTAGACGGATCTTTGAATTTTCTGGAGCATGTTTTATGGCTTATTGCTCTAAACACACTCTTTATAGTCATATTTGGTGAGTTTTACTTCATTGTATATGCTTAACACTCTCTGTATTCAGCTTCTCAAATTAATAACTTATTGAAAAATTTATACGCCGAATTGAATTACAATTGTTGTGTACGATTGATATTACTTATCCATTCAAAACTATGATGGCAGGTGGGTATGCGAAATGCACTCAGCAAACACTTGATCGACACTAAGTGCTTAAAGCCTTAATATATAAAATATGTAAATTCTAAGCTGTATTCGGATGATTTAGCAATAATCTTACTTTGTGTAAGGTAGGTGATACTGACTGATTTAAAATCTGTATATTCATAAAACTATGTGATTAATTCCTATTGTTTTATAAACTGTTGAGCGATATTTGGAAGTATTTCTATGATTTATAAGGACTAATGGTGTGATCGGGAATAAAATATTTTGAAGTGTTTATCTATAAGTATCATTCAACCGGCGATTCTTATTAGACGGTTTATAAAGAAAGCGAAAATTCGTGGAAGGTTTGAAGAGGCTAACCACCTTTGATCATATTTGTCATTATCTAGTCTACCAATTATTGCATACTGAAAGTAATAAGATTTCCGCTGTAGATCTTTAGACTTTATCATAAGAGGTAGAATGCAATTAGTCACCATCACCGGTAATTCAGTAACATTGGTGAATAAAAATGATAAAAATGATCATTCTTAATAAACTTAGCGGGTTTCTATCATCTCACTCTCCTTGAACCTTTTCATAAGTCAGTTGGTGAACTTTTTATTATTTTTCCCCAGTCAAATTTTGTCATAAGACTTTCTAATTATTCAAATTAATTATCGCTTTCAGGTTATAAGTTACAGAAATTTAGGCTGTGTATTCTTGTGTTCTATTTCTCTCTACGAATTGTAATTGGCCTTATTTTGTAACTTATTCTTTTTGCATGTAGCATTCTGTCCATATCATATGGGTCAATTTACTGTCTTGGGCTTCAATTTGGACCGTTTCGTAAGCTTAAATTCTTGTTGGTCACTTTGATTATTAATTTTATTATAGATAAGTGCTACTCACATGGAAGGCTTCAGTACTAGTTTGATCGGTTACATAATTTTCGCTTGTGCTCTGGTTCTTATGCACGAAGTGTTTTCCATCCTCAATATGCCCAGGTAAGGTTATAATAATGATTATTTTGTTTTGGTTATTATATTTACTGTTTTTATTGCTACTAAAGACGAATATAACTTGTCCATTCAGTTCTGCTAAGTGTAATGGTCCAGAACAAGGGAAACTAGGAAATGCGTATTGTGATTAACTTTCTACTACACGTTTAAAAAATAAAAGCAGGAGTAGATTCGAAAACAGGTAAGAGAGACCCCACTGTTCACTAATCCATGAAGTTGTCGACCGTTATTTCGGGCCATGTAAAAGTTTTCCACCCAGGTCATCCTTTAGTCTTCCCAGGATTATGCCGCCTGATATTTTCTTTCTTGGAATGGACAGGAACTTGATTTCACTCCAGACTTTGTAAAGGTTTAAGTTGCCTTTTTTGGGAGTTCAATAAGATAACCCTTCTTCTAATTGCCATGTAAGTACCTTTCTTTCCTTCCACCAAGATTTCTGGGTTACCTTTCAGTGGTTCTCGAGGGGAATTCACCAGATCCTGCTGCTTTATGGCTACCCATAATTTCGGCTTCTGAGGGATGATTAGAATTCTATCGCTGTTGGTCTTATTTCTGGATGATTTGCAGGTAGTGGTGCGTTCCAGATTCCTTCAGAGTAGTCAGCCCAAAGTTCTTCGCTTATTCTCTTTTTGGTAATTAGATTTCCTTCATTATCATTTACTAGTTCCATCTGCATTGACCTCCTCCTAGATCGCAACCTGGTTATGTAGCAGTGTTCTGAGGTCTCTCTTACCTGCACTTTGTGAAATTGTCATTTGGCATTCCTGGGACTTTTCTTTATTTTTAATGGTGCTCCCATCTCTGCACTAGTTCATCTTCTGCTTCATCATCCTTCTCTGTTGTATTAACTTCTGCATGCCCGTAGAGGGCTATTCTTTGTCTTTCCCCTTCTTTCTCCCTGAAACAGCTATACAAGTTTCCTTTCTTCCTGACTGCTTTTGACGTAGAACTTTACACAGAAGTGTGGCAGTTCGAGTTGCCACACTCCATGTATCACACTAAGGAAGAGAAAAGAGAAAAAACATTAGAAAGAACAATAATAAACAGAAATGTGTGTGTGTGGGGGGGTGGAAATAGTTACATAGAAATACAGTAACGTTTAAAGTTTCCTTCCACATCACTTTCAGAGAGTTCCATTGTTGATCATCTCAGCCTTCCCCATGATGATACATAATATATCCTATTTCTTCCTAATGACTGCTGTCATGTCCTTTTTATTTAATGAGTTATAATCTATCCGCAGCTTCATTGATTGCTTTCAACTTGATTGTGTAGAATTCATGTACTTGTTGGTAATCTGAACCAACATCTGCTCCTATGCTCAATTTTTTGTCCCATTACCCGCGTCTCCACTAGCTTTAGGATTGAGATGAAGTCTGTTTGGTTTTTGGTGTGTCCATATGGTGAAACCTATGCGTCCTAGTGTATATCCTTGTGCTTGTACACTCTGCCCCCAACTACCAAATCACTGAACGTGCAGACGTGTGTAAAGAGTTCTACGTTCTAATTCATTTCACCGAGACTCTCTAGAACTATAATGAGTTCTTTTCATGTGTTGTTTACTTCCAGTTTCACATTCACATCACACATTGGGATTTTGATATCACTGTTTGGTGTCTTGTAATTTAATGGTTGCAGTTGCTTGTAGGAGTTTTCCTTCTCTTGGTTTGCGTTGTTTTGTAGTAACATTAAATTGGACAGTCGTAACTTTCGTTCCTTATGAGTTAAATCTTGTTGCCTTTATCTTGGGGAGATTGGTTCCTACTGTGTAAGAGCCTTCAATGCTGTTGGTGACACTCGTGATGTGTTGGTGTTGAAACTTAATAATTACCCTGATAGATTAATCAGGAAGTATGTAGGGAAATGTAAAAATAAAATAATAGTAGTAGTGACAGTGATAACAGTAATAGTATTATTAATGACGACATGCATGTCAAACATGCACAGGATGACGACAACACCAAAAATAAGGAATCTAAACCATCAGTAGTACTTCTATACAAAGAAGAAACCTTGGAAGCCTTACGCAGAATTCCTAACAATGAATACAGGAATAAAAGTGACATTCAAACCAAAAAACTCAATTAGAAACATGCTTTGTAGGTTAAAGGATCCTGTGGAGCCTGCAATGATTGTCAGGTCAAATATATAGGTCAGTCAAACTGGCGGAGCACAAGAACCTAGCGAAATCTAGATTAATTGACCCGAATAAGGTAAGAAATCTGGAGAATAGTTCAACAGTAAATAGGAGTACATGCAATTACACACAAGTATACAATAGGATGGTATTCGATGACAGCTTTAAAATATAATGTAACAGAGTCGAGGGAGAGATTCATAATAGAAGCTTTATTTATCGAATCAGCTGGAAACGCGTGTAATAGGAATGATTCGACACCTATCCCAGACATCTGGAAAATTCTGCAATCCCTACGACAAATAGGAAAGAATAAGGAAAACTATAAAACTCAAGTTTCTAAGTTGTGTGGTTATAATTGATAAAATGATTATGAACAACAAATTGTGTTCGAAACGTCATCGAGCAAATAATACGTTTTCACTGTATCATATATGTAATAAACAAATTAATATGGAATTACATATCACCACAGCGCCCAAGTTTTACACAAACACTAATAGGTCTATGGTCTAAAATATGGGACAGATATCGCATCCATTCTGTATTCCAGTTGTTGACCATTTGAATTAAAGGTTTTTATGAGGCTGCTTAAAAGTATTTCACTCTACAGAATGCTATGTGCTTATGGCAAACTGTCATTTACACAGCCACAGTAAAGTTTTTTTATGTTGAGAACTTCTGAAGCAGAAGGTTAAACTCTTTCTATTGTCACCTTCGGGGGACAATCAGCACTTGTTCATAAAGCAAAATTTAATGCATTGATCAGATTTCGGTAGAACCCTTGTGTTGGGCTTTCTACATACACTGATTGCAAATACTACACTGACTTTTTGTTCCTTTGCTGAGAAAATCTCAGCAATCACCCCCACTAAGGCTGATGCGACTTCAAAAATAATTGAAGTGGTCAACACACTACCATTCTCACTCCCTATCTTTAAGCTAAGAGTCCGTGCAGTCCAATCCTTCAGTATCACCTTGCCTTCCATAGGAGTGAATCACACGTCAAATATTCGAAGATTTTCACCCAAGGTGTTCACAAAACCCTGCACTTTTACAGCGTCTTCATCTAGAAGGAGAACGTAATGTACATACTCTAAGGATACAAGACTATACCCTGGTAACAAGTCAATCTCTAACTCACTATACTCATTTATGGTCGATTCTATCAATATATATGTGATGAAAATAAACAAAAGTGGAGACAGTGGGTATTTCTGATGGACACCACTGGTTGTCATGACTTCAGATGACAACCCCCCGTAATCTCTTACACGAGTATGTGAGTTCGAGTAGTGTCTTGACTAGTGTGGTGTACTTTCACAGAAAGACTTTGCCACACCACCTCTAGGTCGAAAAAGTCGAATTCCGCCTTCAGGTCAGGTTTTGGCCACCAGTAAGTACGCCTGTGTTTCACCACTTGTTTAGGGGTCAATATGTGATCGATACACACTCCTCCTGACGTGAACCACGTCTAGTTTTCTCGCGTAAGTTTCTCCCCAACACCGCTTCATCTGTGTGTGATTATTGAGCCTAGAACTTCAGATACCACATGAATCAAACTTATTCCTCTATGATTATCATAGGAAGACTTTTCTATCGTCTTATAAACTGAGATAATCAGTGACCTGCACCAATCTAATGGAAATATCTCTTACTCCCAGACATTACCTCATAACTGAGTTAATCCAGACAGCAGTTTATCATCATCATGGTCTCTGAACTATAAAGAAGCACTAACTGTCATGACATTAGTGATAAAAAATTGCATCTTGTTCATTGTGTTGTGTGCTGTAGATCTCAAAACTGACTTCAGGGTAATGAACATCCATCTTACTTTTTCAATCCTACTTTTAATATCCTCATCTGTATGTATGTGTGTGCTCACTCACTCACGTAACTTAGTGTGCAATATGTAATTTGATATTGTAACGTCAAAAGACAAGAGTCAGGCAACCGATCGTTTTATTACGGAAATCAGCACGTATTTATATATATTTCATGTACATTATTATAGCTTTATTCAAGCAGACAAACAGTCTTCTGATTGGTTGTTTCTTGCTCAAGGTGACTGGTTTCTCGGAAAGTTAAGCCATATATCTGCGAATCTTATTTGCCCACGTTAAGTCTGCTGTGATTTGTTGTTGAATCAGCCTTGTTCATATTTTCTCACGGCCAAAATTAGTGACCTAGACATTTACGTAAACTAATGTCTACCAATTGGCTAACAGCCTGCTCTCACCACACTCGTCCCCCCGTCAAATAGTTTGGACTGAAGTCGGTTTGATCTTGTTGATGAGGGCGTCATAGTTGGCTTGTCTCGTTGTACCCATTTCTGGAGCTCGCTGACGTTCACCCGCTTCTCTCTGTTTGAGTAGGAGATTTAGCTCACGGTTCGCTGTGGGTCGATTCACCATTTTTTCGTTAGTTATCACTTGTATGACAGTTTTCAAGGTGTCGTCTGATCTTTGAATGTGGACAAGTCTTGCTGGGACTTGCTCTAAGGCATTTACACCGTATGCTATTTCAGGTAAGTCTACCTCTTTTGTTCTGGATAACATATAAGGTAACACGTTCTGTTCTCCTGGAACATGAGAGATCGTGAAATCATACTCTTGCAGACGCAACATCCACCGTGACAACTTCCCACGTGGGTCTCTGGACGTTCTCAGCCACTGCAGAGGCTTATGATCGGTCTCTACGTGGAACCGTTGACCAAATAAATAGGGTCTCCATTTGTCTAGCGCCCACACAATCGCCAAACACTCCTCAGTTGTTAAATACTTCTGTTCCGTGTGCGTTAAAACACGACTGGCGTACTCGACGACTGCGTCACCCTGTCTGAGTCCTTCGCCTATTCCGTAATCGCTAGCATCGGTAGACACTATGAATGGCTCTCCCGGCACTGGTAGGCGCAGCGTCATTCTCTGGTGATCTATCAGGTGTTTGATGCGGTCAAATACCCTCTGCAAGTCTTCCGACCAGACAAACTTTGGCTCGCCTAATAGCCGGTAGAGCGGATCTGCTACTTCGTTGACGTTCACCACAATATAACCACTTGTGCTCTGTCAAGATTTGTGACCAAGCATGCTTTTGCTTCTTAAATAACTAAGTAAGTTGATTGCGAATTTATAATATGTAGGTTTAGATGATATTATAATAACTTTATAATTTCCAAAGATCTGAGCATCACTATGTCTCGTTAAATTATTTTCTTTCCCACTTGTAAGTTTCCTTTGTATTGTGTTACAACTTCTTATTATTTTCTCTTCTGTTGTGAATTTCGGCAAGCTGGGATGTTAGACACTGATTATTCGTTTTTCCAACTATACGTGTGTGCTTAGAAATTTTAAGAGTCACTGTACTTTGCCCTGCTCAATCTAATTATGGATTATATTCCTTTCCACCTAACATAGGGCTTGTTATTGGACCGGTCTTGGCTATGTTTACATCAAAGTAGCCCTGGTCTCTTTAATGGAGTTGGGGATCTTTCCGGTTCTTTCTGGATTTTGGATAGATGCCTGTACTTTAGTAAGTTTTTTTGTTGTCGTATAAGTGAAACTTCTGTTAATGTCTTTAGCTTTTTAGTGCAAAATATCGTTAGTTCAATTATTATTCTTCCTTATTCTCGACACAGTAAAAATCTTATATCATATACCGCATGACTTGCGTATTTTTAACGGAGGAGTTGTAGCCTGCACAGGAACAGGTGAAGGCGAAGGAGACTGGCTTGCGGCTTCACTTCCACCACCCCCAGAAAGCGGTGTGGCATAACCAGTTGAAGATATCTGGGCTGTATGTTTTCCGGCAACTCTACATCTTTTGAAAGATAAGCTTTGAACGCGGACATCTGAAGTGTCATCATTTTGTGTCTCAGTGTCTGCGTCATCAAAATCATCATCCAAATCTTCTTCCTCTTTTGGAATATATGGGTTCATGATAGCAAACTCTTTCCACTTAGCATCCAAAATTTTCTGAACATCCTCTTTGGACGCATTTGGGTTTTTGTTAGAAATAAGAGGATGAACGTATTGATCGAACAACTTCTGAATGGTCTAGTTCTCGAAGTCTTCAGTTTAATATGTCATTTCTACATCTTCAATACCTAACTCTTCGCATAATTGATCTACTGTTTTTTCTTTCTTCGAAACGCGATCTGAACGTCTTTTTGGTATGACTATGGAAGGGTCATCTTCATCCCTATGTTTCATCTTCAGACGTTTCTTGGACCCTCTAACCTCACTCTTCTGTCGGCATCTCTTCCCTCTTTTTCCCACAGAAGCGTCTTCGAATTCTACACCTTCCATTACAAGACGTTAAACATATCAAGTTAATGCGAATATCTCAGTGATTTATTTTATTGACTAAATAAATACAGTCTGTTGTCTCTTCACTTCTCTTTCAGTAATTTACTACTACTGTAAATTTCAGATTGGTTAAACACAAAATAACTGTCATATTTAAGTATTTCTACAGCTAAAAACTAGATTTAATTACATCTAGACACTTTCAGACTCTGAGGCCTATTTCATATTTCATTTCAAGTTTATTTCATATCCTCATTGAAACGTTCTGTGCGGTTTGTCGACGATTTTTATTTCAATAAAGCACTTAGACAAGGAAAATGGTCTTTCGTTACTTTTGCATTCCCGTGCTATCGAGAAAGTTGAAGCGAAAACTGTCTACATCTACGTGGAACTCCTTATATAGTACTCTATTTTTAATTAAAAAAACAAACAAACAACAGATTCAGTGAAGAAATATATTCCTCCTCAATTAGTTCTTCATCATGGGCTGGCTCTACACCAATATATAGTTTTTTACATCAAAATGTTTAACTATTCAACTGGTTATTTTGGTTCATCAGGTGGTGAAATTAAGAGTCATCAGAACAACTGACTAATACAAGTTTTGAAGGAGAGAGAGGTGAGAAATAATTATGGAATTGAATATAAGTTAATTCTTAGGCGTTAGAAACAAGTTAATATATAATCAAGAAATTAGTAAAATAGTAATGACTAAGAAGAATTCATCTGAACAAGCCAAATCTGTGTGTTCAAAAGAAATTTGTACAGCCCCTTTCTTTGCCATGGCCAACTACATAACATGTATGAAGTTTCTGAAAACAATTTCCCCTCCCCTTTTCTTTGTCTTTTGACTTTGTTAATTTTTACAATTCTGGCTAGTCCTATTAACTTATTTGTATTTTACGTAACTCTTCTGAGTCATCCTAAACTTCTTAGTCATCATTGCTATTTTACAAATTTCTTGATTATGTAATAACCTGTTGCCAATGCCTAAGAATAAACCTATCTTGAATTCCATAATTAACTCTCACCTCTCTCTCCTTCAAAACTTAAATATCTTGTTACTAACATGTATTAATCAGTTTTTCTGATGACATTTAAACTCTTAATTTCACCCACGTCTTCCATACTTAAAACTGATGAACCAAAATAACCAGTTGACTGGTTAAACATTTTATTATTATTATTATTATATCCTTTAATTCCTAGAGGGTTTCAGCTGCGCATCTCCATTGCCTTCTGTTTTCTGCCAACTTTTTCACTCCGCTCCAAGTCTGCCCACATGCTCTCATCTCTTCACATGACCTCCTTCATGTCACCCTTGCACCGACGACCAACTCACCGCTTCCCTTTCGGGTTCCACTCGAGCGATGGCTTGTCTAGTGACGTCACTTGATGGTTTCCTCGGAGTATGGCCAGTCCATCTCCATTTCTTCCTGCCTATTTGTTTCACAATCGGTTCCTGGTTGGTTCGCTCCCAGAGATCCCTGTTGCTGATCTTTTCTGGCCGGCCATCTGATCTTGAGTATTGAGCGAAGACAACTGTTAATAAAGGTCTGAAGTTTGTTTGAGATGCTCTTAATGACGCGCCAAGTCTCTGATGTAAAAAACTATATATTGGTGTAGAGCCAGCCGCTGATGAGGAACTATTTTTATTTGTTAAAATACAAATCGCTACTCTGTGGACATGAAATGTGTCACGAAAGGAATCGAACGACAGTTGATCATACCTATGGAGTATATTTACAGGATGGATCACTACTTCAGATTCCTTTCGGAGGGTTGTGGAACAACAGTTAAACGTAAGTTAATTTTAGGTCGGACGGGCGTTTTTGGAATTACGAAATATACCTTTTTATTGGTTCTTGGATTGGTTTCAGAAAATGCATATTTCACCTGTCACACACTACTTGTCTAATCTCCACAGTTCAACTAGAAGAGTAGATTCAAGTGTAATCTCTACCAATCTTGCATCAGTAATTTGAGTGTCATCAACAGCAAAATTTAGAGAAATGACGAAATTCTATAACCCTGTCTAATTCTGCTGCTGTTTGAGATTAAATCTGATAAGTAATTATTCGCACATATTTTTGAGGTGAGAACCTTTGTGTAAAATCTCACTCACTAAGTGTTTTTTAGATCTTACAGGGTTCATGTGTCATGGTTGTAAATTGTTGCTAGACATCCTATTTAGCAGTTAACATGCCCTATGATAGGGGCCCAGGTATCCAAGATTACTTAACTTGATATATCTCAAACTAGCCTATTGTATTGATTCTGAGAACATGTGAATAAGCAGTGGATTAGGGTTGATGTAACCCAATAAAAATATACGTTTCTTCGATATTACTATTCTTTTTGCCTCATATCTCTGTTTACCGTCTCTATTTTGCACTCCTTTTTACTTTCTTCTCTTGCTTTGTGTGCTACGTGGAGTGTGATGACTTGAACTGCGGCACATCGGAGCAAAGTTCTAAGTTGAAATCAGTCAGTCAAAAGTAACCCAACCATTCATTACTTCTCCTTGTACTAGGATTTGCCACAAAATACTCTTGCCGCATATGCTTGCATTTGACAGAGACGAAGCTCATGCGGAACAGTGTGTTCAAGTAGGCTTTGATGAATCTAAGTAATTTGTTATCATTTGTGTGTCAGTGGTTCGATAGTAGAATACTCGCCAACGATGTATATGGTGTGAATCCGATTCCCGTAAAAATACCATTACTGCAAGTTTAGGAATTAAGTTTGAAGCCCTATGTTCCACTTGGAACGTAAAGTGATAAAAAATCCACTCATCAATACTACCCTCTGATACCTCTGAAATCAAACCACTAGGCTTTTTATCATCATTCTTTCAAATTACAAACAATTTTTCGAATCTTTCTTAGAGTTTCAGAACCGATATTTTTGACTCAAACCGGGATCGGATGACTATGATGCAACTGTATTCCAGTTGAACTGTACTTCACTGTCTTCATGTCATTTTGTAAATGTGGTACTTTCTAGCCAATTGATAGCTACATTTTGTTTAACTTAACTGCAGTATTATCTGCATCAGTACACTTAAGTCAGTCTGTTCATACCGACAAAATGCCAAAGAAACAGACCAGACACTAAAGCATTAATGGCTTCCAGACGTCTACCCAAATAGGTGTGGCGTTTCTGTATGTACTGACACCGCCTGTAGCCGATTTCATTGTGATCCACGTGAATGCAGGCTTGAGTGGCAGAAAGAAGATAAAGAATTCCAGTGACTGTTCTGAAAGTCAATGATGACCGAGATTGTAATCTGCGATCACTGGTAGACACTACCAAAAATACAGTGTGCAATCAAGCTGTAATCAAAAATAAAAATAAAAGCCAACTTACCCATTGTAAGGCAATTATGACTGAAGTTAGAAAAACCTAAGTTGTACCTTTAAAATCTCGTTTTATCGGTCAGCAGTTGTATGTGGATAAATAACCTAAGAGTCCAATGAAAGGTAGCTGGATAGCTTCATATAGTGACTGAAATTCCATATCAAAATGACCTAAGAAACTACACTGAAAAGTTATCTTACCTTTGTGCATTGAACAGTAACATTTCTATTGTATCACTTCATTTTTCAGTCTCTTTTCAATGCAACTGTAACTCAACGAACAAATGTATTTCATTATGCTCCAGTAGTCTTTACTTTTATCCATTGGGCAGTTGGTATGCTGTATATATTTTATATGGCATCATTGCTTGTACTCGGTCGAAGCGTACTACGTCCTGGAGTACTACGCTTTATATATCACTTTAATGATCCTGATTACAAGCCTATTCAGGATGTAAGTAAATCTATGAGTAACTGTTTCAGTTTATCTTAGTATTATACTACTTTTACCCTAGAAAATTTCATAATTGTTTATTGCCTAACTTATATAGATGTTGTTATCATATTTATTGACAAGTTTGAATAAGTTAACTGTGTGCATACATCACTACTGTTCATTAAACAGACTGAAAGTCAAGCTCATGTGACAGCACAATGTGTCTTACATTGTTGAAGTATGTAGATTTGATAGAGAAGATAATTACTCTGAAATTGAGGCTTACACAAATTAACAACATAAAAAGAAAAATCGACAAAAGAAAAGGTGGAAGAACACAATTCCCTCTATTATAAAAAGAACGGAACTGGATTGTATCACTGGGATAATACCATTTGAGGGTAGATACCATTAACCACCTTTTCCTGCAAAGATTATTGCATAGGAACTGTAAAGCGGAAATTCCGATAGAATACAACTTACCCTGAAAACCTGAGGGAGAGACATAAGTGTTCTGCAAGTTCCAGCCTAATCTGGTAAGTGGTAAAGCATGGTCCAAAAGTTGCATTGAGCGACAAAGGCTCATTTGGTATAAGAAAAACAAGATTCTAAGTCTTACTGACGAATTGTCAAAGGGCCTGAAACGAAGTTTAGCATTCACATCCATAGTCTATGTAAGTGTATTTCCCCTACTGGCTTCATGCAGCTGACTAGGAACCTCAGGATAAAGTAATCCTCCGTTACTTTTGTTGCTCATGCTCTAATCCGGATAATGTTTCGTTCATCGGGTTTTGGCGAAGTCTGGAGCAAACAAAAGTCATTTTCTTCCTCTTGGTTTGCACACTTTGTATAGAATCATTGAATTACGCTGCACAAAAATTAGTTTTCCGAAATTATCCAGTCGTTGATGTTCGTCTGAATATCACAAGTGCAACAAGCTGATTAGTTAATTACTTTCCATACAATAAGATGACTATTGTATTTTTCGCATGTGTCACTAGGTTTTTAACCGATTCTAAAAGACAGTTCCATAGACACCGACTTAACGGTGAGCGTGTTACTCTTCATACTAGATCAATTTCGGGGCATCATGCTATTAATGCAAGAATGTTTTGTTTATGTGTGTATTATGTGAAGTTCAAAAAAATTATTTTGTGACTAAAGTAATATTTAAAATCGGTACGACTATATGTAAGCTGGTTAGTCTGCAAAATATTCGGTCTTTTTGTAGGCAACTAAAAGTTGCCTTCATTTTCGATTCCCATGATTTCGTGTCCTTCTATGTGTAACTGATTGAGTTAAATAGATAGGCGGCATCCTTTCAGTCGAAAGGATTTTTATTTCAATATTACTTTCTTTTTTAAACTCTGTACGATGCTGTGCTTATTCGGGTTCAAGTTGCATTGGAAACTTCATCACTTACCCACAACAGATAACTTTCAAGAAATTCTGGCATTTAGATCCCAATGAAAGCAAGTGCTAAGTACATATAATACCAGTAGTTAGTTAGTTAGTTAGTCAGTTACGTGACATTAGAATAGAAAATACAAACTGAAGTTATGCACCTTCGTTAATTTTCAACATAAAACCTTTCACAGAGGTTCATCAGTTCAAGTTACCACACGATAGAAGCATTAAGGTATGAAGAAAATGCAAAGAAACTTATATACATAGCAGTGTTGTGCTGGGTGGGAAGACTGATTACACGAAATATGACGGAAATTTAATAAGTGTCTACGACATCATCATGGGTGAATGCATCGTTGCCACTGAAAGCTATTTCGAACCACATAACCGATAGTCTGCAGCCATTGCCTGTTATCGTCTTGAAGACGTAAACTAAGGCAGTCCACACAACTAACTACGTGGCTCGAACCAAATCTAAGCACTTTACCTTTAACCAAAGTATCCTGCGTTTGTATCCCACCGGTCTACGTTGGGCGAGATGACTGGGTTGTTTTATCAACAGCGAGAAGATATATGCAACTAATGCCCTGGTACGAGAAAACTGTCTTCCGAATTATTAACTTCTATTTACCTTTGTTGTGATCTTGAATGTTGGTTTATTATAATAACTGTCTTTTATTTCAAAGCCAATCCGCAGTACAGTGTTTTCCTTTCCTGTTTATGTATTTCAGATGATTTTTCAACCTTTGCCAGTATACGTACAGCGTCTAATTGCGACTTATGTAAGTAAGATAGACCGCGCATCATTCACACTTATTTTATCTTGTTCCGTCTTCCTTTTGTTCTAAATCATCCTAATAATTTATGATTTCATTTTTTTTATATTCACACGCACAAAACAATACACAATTTTCGTCTACGCAGTCGGTATGGGGCATTTTGATTGTGCTTATGTTGTGGATACCTACAGAAGTGATTCGACATTTCATCCCGAAATTTTTGCCTTTTCGTATAAATGCAGCCTAGTAAGTCAATGCTACACAACAACTAGATAATTAGTTACGGAATAATTTTTGATGTGGTTGTGTCCTCTGAGCTCAGGTAGTTTAATTGTACAACCTTCAGTGTCCTTCTAGACAATTTTTTTCGGCTCACACTGTATACTCCGATAATAAACAGCTCCATTCTGGAGATTATGTGTTTACATACAATACAAACTTCTCTGCTTAATTTCTTGCAAAATCTTTACTCCCCATATCCAATCTGTGGGTAATATATTCAACCAAAGTATGTCGTGTGACCTAACACCCTTCTATCTAAAACAAGAGTCAGTTGTCTACGATGCTTTTCCGTCATTTTCTCCTCGAAGTTCAGAGCAGTAGGTTGAAAGTCGATTAAAAATTTGCCTGAGTTCATGTTCCGACTCAAAGACATAATTGGAAGATTAATGCAAGAAATGGAGTAAAGTGGTAGGTTCATAATGTTCAATGGAAATTTAGATAGTCTAGAAATCCAGATAGGCCATCGGAAAAAGTCTAATCTGTATAAGACAATAATAAATCGCCCAGCTCAGAAGACAACAACAACATCAAAATGCTCCATCTGAGCTTTAAATCTTCTTCATTTATTTCAACATGCAGAATATGTCTATAAAAATAATTTTCTTTCATGTAGTGTGTTTATGATCATTAATCAACGTGTTTCTTCACATTTGTTAGCCGTAATATTTTTTCAAACTGTCTAATTCAATATACAAATTGTGAAGTGTAATTTATGGTCTGGTAATTATAGCTAGTCTTTTTTTACAACTTGTCGACTGATTATTATTGGCAGAGTATTGAATGAAGTTGTGGTAAAATGTCAAGTGAGAGATATCAAATCTCGGAAAACACAGAACAATTTTCGTCCCCATCTTGAGCTAAAAAGTCCTCCGTTTTGTTTCGTAGCAAGCTGACTGAATGATGAGCCAGGATTAAGTTACTCTTAGCAACACCAACGGTTATAGACGCATCATGCATGTAATCATAAATGTCTGTCAAAGTAACCGGCATTATTACCTTCACACTTAAGCTTTACGAAGACTTAGTAAGTAGCTGAAACCCATATCCGTCATCATTCTGCCCAATAATCTTTTAGTTGCTAATTTGTATCGCCATGAGACCTAAGCTTTCATTTCACTTTTTATTCAAAACCGGTTGCATTTATTGATCGTTCATTTTGAGTTGTTAAGTAGATAAAATACATGTTCACCGAAGTTGTCCTGAATTGTATCGTCCCAAACAATATCTTGTCATAGTTAAATAAATGTGGTCTCTTTATGCTTCACTGATGCCTACTATTTGGGTATGAATGTAACTCATTCTATGTGCTTTCATAGCGACACATAGGGCGTTGTCTTAGCTTGATACAGGAAAGCACCATCTGTTCATGTAGATACATCATTTGGCTTTCAGACTACAAGTAAAGAACACTCATGCATTGTCACTGACCAACAACGGCCTGATAATAAATTCCTTGAAAAGAGTCTCTTAGCTGAAATACTTGTTTTGATTTTCTAAACATCCTAATGGAAATTTTCCACGAATAATTTTTTTGTTATTGGAGTAGGAGCTAGTCGCTTTTTATTTTCAATACAATCCGCTGTCGACTTACTAGTAATGATATTATGTTTACCTCAAGATTTAGCTGTAAGATGAATCTTTTCGTAGTTTTCATACCCAAATTGCAGCGGTGTTATTAAGCATACTCACCTGGTAAGCAGTGTGTATTAATTAATAAAGAGTAACATCAATAGACGTTGTGATTATTTTTCAAATATTTTACACGAATGCATCGTTAATTCCCATGTGGGAACTTTAGATAACTGCAAACTTTTGTCGAATACTTTCATTTACTAACTTACACATCACCAGGGTGAAGTGGCTGCACTTGAGTTATCTATACAATTGTAGCTTTTGGACTTATTTCACTAAAATGTTTGTTGTAGTATGGCTTCTCGGGAATTTTACTTTAGCAGAAAAAATATCGTGTTATATTTTTTATTGTAACTTAGTCTAGCTCATTTTCCTGTCATAATCATGTCTCTTTTTTTTGCTGTATTCAAGTGACAGTCCATGGGATTATTCATTGGAAATGATTCTTCTGCAAGTTGTACTTCCATTCTTATTAGACGTTCAAGCGAAAGCCAGTCTCCGTCAGTTATTACGTTGGTGGTGTGTAAGCGTAGCCTGGTTATTGGGTTTGCGTAGCTACCTATTGGGAGATGAGCCTTTTTCATCTGGGGTTAGTCGAAAAAATATTTAACATTGCATTATAATTTGTGTGTATTTGCTTCGTAAATTTAAAATCTCATCTTAATAAGCTAAGTTCATGGTTAGAAACTGCACACATACGGATAGCTTTAATTCGAAATAAGTAATTTAGATTGACATTTCCGCATCTTTGCTCATCAAAGCAACTGCGAACACCTCCAATTGAAATGAGGCTATGGAGATACTACGAATAAGGTAATAATCTTGATATTAAATAAAGTGATATATATATATATATATATATAATTTATATTCTTCATCTAGGATTTTATTGTAACTGAAAATGGCAGAGAAGTACCTTTCAAACCTGGACAATATCCACGGAATGAGGCACAGACGTCAAGTAATCATGCCAACGAAGAATTGAATCCTGTACATTCATCGCAAACATCAAATAACGAAGCTCATAATCTTCAAGCAGAATTATATAGTGTAGTTTCATCATGCAATGAAGGAAATTCATCTGCTAGTAATCCCTCCCATGAACATGTACAACCTGAAGTCGATGCGCAAGATGATGGTTACACAGACGAGGAAGATTTTACACGTTATGTACCCTACAAAAAAACCAGTTGCCTGAAACTGCGAATTTTCGGCCTAATCATTTTATTGCTCAGTAGTCTGATGTCCTTAAGTCTAGCCTTACTGATTGTACCTGTCGGCGTTGGACGATTCCTGTTGAATTTCAGAGGAAAAGATTCTACATCAAAGCATGATGCGATTGCTTTAGTTGGTGGCTTTACTGTTCTGGGAATGATACTTCGCTTAGCTCCTTGGTAAGTTCATTTCGCTAGTATCGTATTTACACTTCTGATAATTATTCAGTATTAATATTTAATTGGCTTGGTAACAAGTGTAGCTATGTACTGCAGAGCATGAATCGTTCTAATGTGTATATAAAAATAAGCCGTTTAAAGGAGAATAATAAGTATATGCAACAATTTGTCGAAAAATGGCTAAGAGTAGACTTCCAGCCTCATCTATATAAAAGTATATTACTAGCACAAATCATAAGATTGATATCATAACAGCTCTCATAAGTCCATGCAAAACCGTCAATGGTGCATACCAAAATATCCTGAGTTGACAGTCATAATTCAAATTAAGCCCTCTTTGTGTATGCGAAAAAAAATAACTACTGCACTTAGTTAGTCTTGGTAACCATTATCTGATTATATTGCTAGACAATGTTAGTCATCCCCCACCACCACCACCATTTTGTTTATATAACTTTTAATGGTCGTATAAACTGAGTAGACAAGCCAATGTGTGACCACACTGTTCAAAACGTATTGCGCAAGTACATCACATCTGATGTTGACTATTTGATATTTAATGGCTGATATAACAGTAGAGTTCAGTCATTGTTGTAGAGTGACGTTTCACTGAGCTTATGAATTCAGCGACCATATTACCACAGCTAATACTGTTATTATGTTTTCTTACGGTTACAAAATGCCTTTTATTTTATTGTTTGCAGCATACCTATCGCTTTCACCGGGTTATGGCGTATCATTACTTTACTTGGACAATGTAGTAATCTTATATCCTGGTCAAGGCCATTGCGTGTATTTAGGATTTGGACTCGTTTGGGTACGACTTGTGAAATTACCATACGAAGACCTGCACTACCAATGGCTCCTATGGCTGATCTTAATCGGCGTTGTGGATTTAGATTTTTCACCGATACAAATATCGGAACATGTGCCCAAAATTGTTTTCGCGCTTCATTGAATTGGTTACGGCTCTCACTTGTAGCATCTGTACTACTTGGCATCCTGCCAATAGCCTTAGGACTATTGGTTAACTTTATTTTCATTGTGCCGTTCCGCGTTGGAGCCAGAAAATCTATTGTAATTGGATTCTGGGAGGTATGCTTTTCATATAGTTCTTAACCATGCTTTATGTGTGCGCCGGTGGTTCGTTCAGTGATAGGATACACGCAAACCATGCACGTGGTCCTGGGTTGGATCCCTGATCGACTTACTCCTAAACCTCGCCAAGCCAGCAATGAAGGAATTAAGGCCTGAGGCTATCAGCTCCGCTGAGCAAAGAAACAAGCGCTACTGCAGCTGGATCTCCAAACCTAAAGCCTGAAACCCTATGTTCCACTCGGAACGCAAAGGAATAAAATAATGCTGTAATGTAGATTCCTACATTTTAGTGTTACTTCTGTTTATATATATATATTCTATATTTCAGTGCAAAACATTTAGCGAGAATACATGATAAATGATGTATGTTTCCAGGTCTAAGTGACCAAGTTCTATGAAATCCTTAATCCCCGATAGGGTTAACTGTACATTTTGTGTATAGCCACACCAACTTTGCGAATTCCAACACGTTTTTTTCCAAAGATAATCTTCATATCCCCCTAGACTGATAAACATAAGGCTTGAAATGTTGAAACATGTATTCACTTCACAAACGTTTTCCTCTCAACTATACTAAAAATTGGATGTTTAAAAAGCACTTCTACCTTTAGGAGGAAATAGCTCCGAAATTAACAGATTCATTCATCTGTATACCACATGGTTGTGATATTTGCAGTTCAGTTTTTCAAATTTCATTAATTCAAGGCGTCAGTCTTCTTAGCAAATTAAAATTAGAACTGCTTGTGACCGGCAAAATTTTGAGCATTACAATTATTTAAGACTTCATACTAAGATATAAATCAGTCGGTTACTGAATTACGTGCGTTTTATGATCTAGTCATATAACCTTTTTAGACATAAAAATCGATCAAGTAGGAATTATATTGCTCGTTTTCTTATTGTCTGAATGCAAATCTGTCATCTCCTTGAGTAGTTAAATGCGTCTATGTGAACTGTTCGATCTTCGAGATGCTACAATACAACGTTGATGTTGGTCTTTTCTTTTTTTAGCATTGGATATTCGGTATGATGCTCTTGAAAGTGTCTATTTTGCTTATTCTAATTGGACCTCCTTGGTGGTTGCGCAATCGTTTAGAGATCTTCCACGATGAAATCTTACATCATCGACAAGATGTTCGTGCTACTCGTCTACTTTGGGCAATTGCACCATTGCTCGTAGCTATTGGATTATCTTTAAGTGTACCTTATTTGCTAGCGCATTATATTAGTCCACTATTTGGTAAGACTTGTACATTTAAAAAGAGTTTCATCAGTAACATGATTTTTTTTTACACATTACGTGAAAAAATTAATGATAGGTGCCAAGCCAGCGAAAACAGGCGGACACTGGGCTGGACTGTTTTCATTGTGAAATGAAGTTCAGTAGCGCGTGTCCATGAGTCAGTATCCACCAGTAGCCAATAAGCTCTAGACTCTTACTTCATCTGTCTAGTTCCCCGACGTTTTTAATTGTTGTCTAACTAATATAAGTTGTTGATGAAAACTCCCTTGTAGTATGTGTACCAATTATTCTCTTAAACATTTCAGTTTAGAACCAAGTGAAAATTTTGTTTTAATTACACTGCAGCAATGAAATATCTCACACATTTTAAAGCAACAGCTTTGTGAATACTCTTAAATAAATATAGTGTAATTCGGCGTTTTGGCAGTTCATATTGATCTCTCTGAATGTGCAAAGAAATAACCACTCTTGGTTTTTAATACTCACAGTAGACCTCACGAAATGTCGATGATTTAAAGAAAGATTTCCAGTTCAAATGAAAATACCTTCTTATCCTTTAACCCATGAATGTAATAGGGAATTTATGCCTACTTGCTAAAACTTAATATTTAAAAAGAAATCTCACCGCACAAGGTCGGATAAATGTTAAAGTAATACAAAACTAACCTGGGTAATGCCTCCAGTAACCATAGTTACGTGGGAAAACATGCCACAGTGAATTTAAACGCATTTTTCGCCGAAATAAACTCAGTGAACACACCTTAAATTTATCGTTGTACACGATTTCCAACTGCAACTGCCAGAGGAGTATGAGAATATATAACAAGACTGGACATTCATATACATATATCATAAAAAGTACCCCTCGCCTTAGGTAAGTAATGCAGTGCATTCTAGCAATGGGACTTCAGAAGCAAAGCCGAACATTCACTTTTCATAATTTAAAAGCTATGTCTGAGTACACTGCACAATGAGTAATGAACTGCGTCTATTTCTTTTCATAGCATTAGATAGAAAAGTCGCCTTACGCTATGTGTATCCATCTCTTTTCGTCTTGGCTGTGCTTATTTTCTTATGTGCTTTGTGCATCGACCAGATACGACGTCTCTACATACATATTAAAGATGAAAAGTAAGTCCTTCATGATTTTTCAATGATTGTTTAATCTTCACATTTTTAAATATGTGTAGCGAATTTGATTTCTCAACTGAATGGTACAATAGCCTTTATATTTACTGTTAGAACACTGTGAGCGACAAGAAATGCGTCACACAATGTTTCTGCGAGGTCTAGGATACTGTCAAGATGTTGGTTGTCTTAATGGGCCAATCCCAGAGCCATTTACTTGAAGTCTGATTCACAAGACAGTGGAACAGTCAAGAGTTAGTTCCCAAGGTTGCCAGATTCTGATGTCCATGTACACCATACGTTTGGAATCAAGGTTTCTGAGCTCGTCTAGGTAGACCAGCACTTCCACCAGCCCGATTGTAAGCCCCAGACGTTGGCATTCGCCCTCTCACTTTTGTGAAAGTCTGTCTGAATTTTCAACGTTAGGAGGTTTTTTTGCCTATATTATTTATCAAAGATTTTAACTTAAAAGAATAAATCATTAAAATTTTGTTTCTTAATAATTTCAGATATTTAGTTGGGAGACAACTAGTGAATTTTCGTCCACCATCACCAAGTCAGTCTTTGGTCCCAGCATCGTCAATTAGAAGTGATTGAGATGTATGTATGCTATACAGAAAGATATCTGTAATCAATATCTTCAATACTTTTTCCACTGACTCAGATGATAACAGAGTTTTCAAATAAAATGTTTATGTGCAACTGAGAATTGGTCTCATCAGTCATTTTCTCATAGTCCAACTTAACTATATAACCGCTGAGAAATTCTTCACAGCACTGAAAGAAATCCACACACATTATTTGCACAGATGATAAGAACGCATACAACACACGTATAGTTAAAACAAAAATTCTGTATTTGAAACTCAAACTTCTGTAAATTGTTTTCACACTATTATTACTTGGTCCCGTTCTTGTGTAATTCGATTGAAAAATCTGTTTCCTCAGTTTTCACTTTAAAACGCTGAAAGAAAAAGAATAAGCCGTGAACGAAATCAACGATTGATTCAGAAAGGAAGATTCATACTTATCATAATGAGATTGGGGGTCTAAGATATGAGACCAGTTCTGTTTTAATAAATACCGCTTGTCAAGACTGTCACTAGTATGTATGCAATATCTCCAATGTCTTTTAGTGTACGCAATGACAGAACACTCTTTTAAACGTTAACAAAGCATTGGTATATCTTTAATATACTGACTCTACATTTCCACGAAGAGGGGCTTCGCACTACATACAAAAGCACCATAATCGTAGTAGATGATTAAAATTTAGGTTCTCAAGGAAAACCCTTGTATTTCCAGGTGTATTGGTTATGAGGAAAACTGTGGAGGTTTGGCTCATTGGCGTAAGTCAATGGGTACCGGATTCGAATTTCACTACAAATAAATAGTGTAATTATATTGAAAATCCTTATTCCTCAGTGCAGTCTTAGCTTTCAACTTCAGTCAAGCAGTTAGTTACAAGACCCACTCTACACTCATGCAAAGTAATATGAATTCAACAGCTCCCACATAAAATATCACTGCTTACAGCATTTACAATTGCATCGACATTTTTAACCTCTCCTTTTTCCTTTACACGAATGAAGTGCGTTCCAGGACACCATTTCACGTACCGATTCGACTAGCATGAAAGCAATAAAAAAGTAAAATGTTCAAACCGAACTGCCAGCATAATAACTAATAATAATAAGAGGAAAATGACTGTTCACATGTGATGTATTTATATACAAGAAACTACACTACGGAAACTATTTACGTGATTCAAAATTTGTATGCACCATAATAGTACTGTGATAAAAGACAACAATTCCCCAGCATGGTAACATGTTGCTACTGATCGGTCTATTGTATAACCCTTCTGTATCATGAAGTTGATTACTCAGATTTACTTGTTCCGTTTGGAGGAAAATTCATGCCACCTTTTCAGTTGCGTTTTCTGTTCGACCGCCATGCCACCGCCTGATACCAATTTACATTTACAAACTGAAACACTTGATAAAAGCAGCAATACTATTTGCATAAATAAGCTGAAGCAGTGCCGCTTGCTTTTTAAAAAGTAGTTTAAGCTTCATCCATACATTTTGTTGAATACAACTTTCAAAATATTTAGCACTGTACATCGAGAAGTCTACAGTTATTTCTCTTACCTTCTTATAAATAAACAATAATTCTAAAGCTAAAAGTGAACTACCATAGGATGTGTTAGTTTGTGGGCGAACAAAACATCAGACCTATTAGCATTAAGACGTTACTTGAAACTTTACTTGCCTACAAAAGCGTCATTCCTGTTGAGGCCCTGGGCGTGTAACATATTTTGACATATAATATTCTGCATGTGTGCGGCAGGCTACAAATATTTATCTTCCTGAATGACACTGTTCGCAGCAAAACAGTAATTTAGCTTTTTGAGTAAGAGAGGACTAGGAGCGTTAGTAACCCTAACCATCAATTAGTCTACCTAGAACACTTGATGATATACGGTGAATAGACCTACGGGACTCGTAATCATATCTAAACTATGGGAAGCTTGTGCATAGTGAATTATATTTTTGTGTAACTTGCCAGCACAGGCCTTTTTACTCTAAAACGTGCGTGCTCATTATGACAATGACCGGTTGTTCAGGTTGAAGTAATCAAAATGTGAGCTCAATCCAACGGATCACGCTTCGTACATAAAGAATTACAAATATCTCTGGTGGTATGACAATAGTCATAGGACAAAGTATAAGAAAGGCATTAAATGTTTTTTGGGTTGGAAAATATGTTAAACAACTTCGTAGGTGGAGTGAAAAACATACCGTTAGTGCAACATTTTTGGGATCTTCCATTTTTATATTAGTAACAGGAACTGTAGATTGCTGACCACTTGTAGTCCTAGTAAAAGAAAATTACAACAAAGCATCATTATATCATTTGTAACTGCTTCGGTGTTTCGCACTATTGAATGACTTGTCAGCAAAGCTCAAACTGAATGTAATGATGATTGTACGACAGATATCGAACAATTCCTAAAAGTACCTACAGGCAATCAAAGAATTAAACACACCTTATCATAACATTAAAATATTACAACAGAGATAAACTTATTTTTCTGCAACCTTATCTCTAACCACTAATACTGACTAAGCGGTCCACGGGAGGAACAAACACAAGAGAACCAAAGAGACTTTAGACCAGGAAGAGGGTGTATTGATCATATCTTCACCCTTCGACAGATTCTAGAACACAGGCATTCCTACCGGTATCCAACAATCACAATATTTCTTGACCTAAAGGCGGAGTTCGATTCTGTCGACCAAGAAAGTACTATGACGATGTTTGGCTGTAAAGGCAATGTCGAGAAAATACATTGCACTGCTCAAGGTACTCACTCTATTCGAACTCAAGCAGTCAGGTGAGGGCTTACGGCGAGTTTTCATCTGAAGTGGTGACGACTAGTGGTGTCCGTCAGGATCCCATTTCTATTCAACTTCACCATTGAAGGACTTAACACTGACTCACTTCAGGGACACAAGGATTGACTTGCTAACAGAGAATAATCTCGTTGACTTCGAGCTGCAATCTGGGAATTTTGGCATGCGGTCCCCTCCCACCAAACGTAAGACTGACTACATTGATTACTAGCTTAGAAACAGAGTAAATTGGTAAAGCACGTTGACCGCTTCTCTTATTTGGGAAATACCATCAGTCTGCCTCAACGGGTTGATCTCTGAAGAAATCTCAGCACGGATAAAGGTGGTCCGTTTCGCGCCTGCCAATTTACGCCGTCTGTGGCGTAGACGTGATATTCCACTATCGACCAAAGGGCGGGTATACTGCTCATCAGTCCGCTTCGTTCTCCTTTATGGCTGTGAGACCTGGTCATTGAGAGTGGAAGACATCAAAAGCCGACCATAGATATCAGGTGTGCGTCGGCGGGGGCTCGAACCTAGGACCATGTGCATGGTTGGCGAGAGTCCTAACCGCTGTGCCACCGACGCTTTGTGTGTTACGAGGAGTGTGGCGACTCGAACTGCCGCACATATGTGCAAAGTTTTATGTCGAAAACAGACAGAATCTATTTGGGTCCAGCGTTGATTTCATTATGTTGGTCGCCAAGTAAGGCAATGTTTCTCCTTGTGACTGAAGTTAGTAGTGACGAGGAACAGATGATCAACTGAACAGAACTGTAGAAGACGATCACCTTTGGTGGTTCACCGGCATGGGACACCATAGATACTACCAATTTACTTTTCTGAATGGTACAACTTGCCTACTTAAGCACTGGGGTCAATTGCTACGACTATGTCTGACAGCTTTATTTTTAGCAACAAACTAGACAACTTGTGATAGAACTCATTCTTTACTTCGTCCAAACTGCAGTCTGTTGAGGTACAAGTAAAGATTATGGGAAAACATGGACGGGTATCACAATCTTTGTTTCTCCTAACGGATCCGTCCACTGGGATAGCATACATCCAATAGGATCCAATCAACTAGGAAGAGGCAAAACACATGCAATTATCAGGTCATTATAATGTCTCAGTCAAGTTATTAACAAGTCGTTGACATGCAATTGTTCCTGCTTCTGATTGGACGCTTGCACAATTCCAACTCTCAACCGGATTGGTTGATTTCCAGTCTACCTTATTTTCTGTATAAATACAGTCACCTTTGGCATAATAAATGAACCTGGTTTTACCGCTGATTCTCACGTGTTCTGCTTTACCAGTTAAGTGGGCACTGGCCAGTAGTTAAGCAGTGACCTCGTAACAAAAGATCTAGCATCATAACAATTGGCAACGGGGTTTCGAATCCATTGCAGTTCAATACAGTCAAATAAAACCCAGATCATCCAGTGGACATCCAGCCTGTCATTTAAACAAATGCAACTTCTCCTTCATCAACAACAGTAACAGTTTGAAGCTTGCCAGCTCAGTCTGATTGAAAAACTTACAAAGCAGTTTTCAATTCAAAATCTCGGCAGTTCCAACTCAGAGAAAACCGAATCTATTGGGAGTTCAGTTTCGAACCTTCAACAGGCGTGACGTTTGAAGCTTGGTTTCGACGTTATGAAGATCTGTTCCGGGTAGAATGCGCTCACCTAGATGATTCTGCCAAAGTGAGACTACTCCTTCGCAAACTTGGTCCAGCCGAACATAACAAATATGTCAATCATATTCTACCAAATTCTATATGCAGTGTGGTGACTTGAACTGTTGTACATCGGTGCAGAGTTCTATGTTAAAAACAGACAGACAGAACACAGAGCTCTGTTGATGATGTTGGATGCCGGGGCGTTGGATCAGCTAAACTGCTTTTCAAAGTGCTATGCACATCGCTCCATGGGTATTTTCAGTTTGGCAATTAGCAAACCATCTGTCTCACATATCGTCGCCAATCTTGCTGCCAGTGGTTTGGATGAGCTGGACAACTTCCGTCTATTGCCAGATACAGCTGCTGATCATATCTTACACGCATATTGGTGGAGGCGTGACGAGTGAAATTCTCAGTCATATAGCGAAAAGCAAAGCTGTATTAGTAAAACTAACCCACCGTTGTTCATATCGCGACAATGGTATTGCCGTCGATATGGCACAACCTTGTCTTACTCCTGAGAAAACTGACCTCTCCATGCTCAAGATGTGTCTGGTTATCACTGCCTCCGTTCTTTGTCGACAATACCTAAGTAATTTTGGGGTCCGGCATCATGTATCTGGAAGTGATAGCGATTGTCTCCTGACAAGTGATGTCATTTTGCGATACCGGCTACGACTACTTGGATCTGTTCCTCGAAGATCGTACCAGCGGCTCCTATACTATTCGTTACTTGCTGGTTCCAGAACCACGTGGAAAAAAAGTGGAGAAGTAGTTGGCCCATGCCATAGCACAGTGAGATGAATGGTAGTTCAGTTGGGTTCGCATCTGCTGGTGCATCACATCTCCTTGGATAGAGTTTGAGAGATCTGTAGACTCGCTGTCTAGAGACATTATCAAATATGACTCGGGATCAAAGTTAGGCGTGAACCTATTGAAACTTCCTTTTTCATTCCCTTTCGGAAAACAATATAAACTAATGAGTGATGCGCACGGTGGCTGTTAAATATTGTTGTTTTTGTGTGCAGTATTTCTTGATGTTCCTATTCTAATGTTTCGAGTAAAAAGAGGGTATCTCACGTAGGCGACTGAGAACCATTGTCAGACAGACAACTGATGATAACAAGACGACAATAAATCTTGAAAAATGAAGAATACCAACCTCTGGAAGGCACTTACAAAATTGGTTTTTTTGAAGATAAAATAGCAAACTTTATGAAGCAAAATAAATTAAATAAACAATATGCTAGAGCTAAGAATAACCATTCTTAAATATTTCTGCACAAAGGGGTACGGTGTTACTGAGCAAAAAAGAAGGTCAAGTAACTCTTGATGTAATTCAATCACTTATCTAAGGCCAATTTTAATGCATAGTTTGTACACAGCCTGTTTTTTTTCTAAATGACTTACCTTTCCGTTGTATAGCGCTTTTCTGTTTCCAACTCATTCGTAATTGAAGGATTTTCAGTACAGCACCTCTTTGCCTGATCATCCTCAACAGAGCTTTCCCTTGAACGTTTACGAGGTATAACTTCCAAAGGCAATGGATATGTTGAGAAATAACGTACTTCTTTTACATTGATTCTAACCCATGTTCGAAAAAATTTCGAAAGCTGTGTTCTACTAGAACACAGCGAATGAAAATCACTCAAAATAGTTTGGAAATGAGCCATCATGCTTGGTGTCAAAGTAAACGGGTTGAGTGGAAACGCTAAAACACGTTTCAGTACAAAGCGTAATACACCAGGGGGCACGAGTTCACAATTCGTCTCATCGGAGAAATATGCGCCTGGAATATGAGGTACTGTAGAATGACCAAAAATATTTCAAATGTGCATATTAGTGCTAATAAGCAAGTTTATCACAGAATAAGTAATCCTAGATAGACCTAATGTAAAATATTAAAATTTGACTTCGAGTTTCTACTAGTTCAATTTATTTGAAATAATCATTATTCAAGTTTAATCTGACAATAACGAAACTACGGATGTATCGCGTATGCTAGTATGAAAGGAATGATAGAAAAATTAAGCAGTTATTGTTACAATAAGCATGTAGTCGGCAAAAGCGAGGATTGCTTTGCTTAAAAAAACTCTGCTTTATTACACAATCAAGTCTTATATCTTCACAAAAAGTTTTACTACTAACTGAAATTCAATACTCATAATACATGTTCTAAACATCTCAATCGATGGAGCTAGAGAAAACTCACTGACCGACTTTCCTTCCGTACCTAGCATTCACTGACCGACAGATCGAATTTCGAAATAGAAGTGCAGCAGTTCAAGTACCCACACTTTATATAGCACATAAAGGCATTAAAAGGACAAAAAGAGACTCATAACAACTTTAATAAGCAGAAATGTGAAGTTGAAAGAATCGTAACAGAAAAAATGAGGACTTAATAAATCTGGGAGATCCCACTGAGTCAATGCATCTTTACCAGTGACAATGATTTCAAACCATCAAACATCAACAATCTCCAGCCACTGTTCTCAACATCTCGAAGACACCAACAAGAAAGTTACACCTGCTTAACTGGTTCAAACTAACTGTCAAGGCTTTCATGGACTAATACCAGGTTTCGGTTTGACCATCCCAAACTCTTTTCCCACCTAATCCTAACATTGACTGTTGAGGGAGGCGATGGCTCGGAACGCCCAACACGTGTCCTAACCAACTCAATCAATTCACATTCACAACTTGACTGATTAACTTTCTTTTGCTACTTAATACTGGCACGGAATTCCATAAGTGCCACCGACATCCTTCTCAGATTGACACAATTTCCCTACTTGAGCATTAAAGCCACCAGTTAGAACGACTATATCTGAGCGTTTAGCCTTTCGCAGCAAACTAGACAGCTTTTGGTAGAACTCATCCTTCGTTTCATCCGAACTGAGGTTAGTGGGGGCGTAGGTGGAAATTATGAAAAGGCATCGGCGAGTAGTGCAGTCCATTCTCCTTTTTACTGATCCATTCAGACGGACAGCACACATTCGGCTATCTACCGGGATCCAGTCAGGTAATGTCTTTTCTTTTTCTCAAAGCTATCCCTACACCAGCTAATCCTCGTGAACTAGCTGTGGCATCTCCTGACACCCTAAAGGTGAATTTTGCAGATTCAACCTGTTGGCCAGATGGAATTAGGTGAATAACCACACTTGGATCTTGTATGCGTGTTTCTGAAACACAACATATATCAATGGCTTGAGATGCCAGAGTCTTGGCTAGTGATGCTTGTTGTCCTATTTGGCAAAGTGTCCTAACATTAAATGCTCCTGTATGAAATTGGTGGAGTCGCTTTAGGAGACTATCGGTAGAGGCTTTTTGGCTTCCGTCGTTTTTAGTGGACACAGAGTGAAGAGCCATCAAATACAGGAGTTGCATCAGTGGAAGGAAGGCAAGATAATAGAGATGAAGATGGAGACAAAGATGAGTGAGGATTAGAGAGGTTTCGTGTGCATTTCGTATTGTGAGGGCGATTTTTACTTCCCGGCTGCCCACACCGTGGAAGTTGGTTGCGTGACCGCAGAGCCCAGGGGACAACTGCTTGAGGTCGGTCACACGCGGCCTGTTTTTGTTTGTTCTTTTTTGTTTGGTGTGTCTCAGTAGGATATTTATCACTTCTGCCCTGCGACACGGCAGCAGGAAGCGCGGTCGTTGTTAATCCGGGCCCCAACCGATCCGGCATGATATTTTGTGATTTTCTTGGAGTCATAGCATTAGATTAGGTAGCTGCTTTTTGTCTGACCGCTATCCAAACAACCTTTCTGGTATGGCGACACCCCAAGCGACATAATTCTAGAATATGAGAAAGTACTGAAATGAGGTACTGGAATCTTTTTGAATTTAGATTCGTTCAGATTTACCTCTTTTTTGATAATAGAGCAAACCTAAAATAAACAATACAAAACAGCAACACGGAAACAGACACCAAAGGTGTTGATTGCGCTGCGAATTCTGTTTAAATTGATGGATTAAACTGTGTGGTAATATCGTGTATTGGCGTCGATAGTACTTTAGCATTTTAGAGTGCTCGCCAATTAAGTACGCGGTATGGATTCGATTTCCGACCGACGCACTCCTTAATCGCGTCTCATCGTAGGCTGTCGTATGTGTGAGGTCCCTCAGAAAGGGTCCGTTAAAAGAAGGAAAGACGGCACTACCCGTCGTTACCTTTTCGTAGTCTCCGCTTACGCCCCAACAGACTGCAGTTCGTATGAACAATACGATGACTTTTACCTGAAACTGTCTAATTTGCTGCAAAAAAGCAAAACGTTCAGATATAGTTCTTTTAGCAGTCGACTTCAATGCCCGAGTAGGGAAGTTGTGCCAGACTGAGAAGTATGTAGGCGGTACGTATGGAGTTCCCTGCCGACAAACCGACAACGGTGATCGTCTTCTACAGTTTTGCTCAGATAATCGTCTGTTCTTAGTCAGCACTAACTTTAGGCACAAAGAGAGACATTGTGTAATCTGGCGACCTCCATCACCAAATCAACGCTGGACTCAGATAGACCACATAGCGATAGGGTATCGTTGGCAAGGGTCAGTAGAAGACTGTCGCTCCTTCTGGAACACGTGCATAGACTCTGATCACGCTCTGGTTTGCGCACGTTTATGCTTACGAATAAACGGACATAAGAAATTGACGGCAGCGAAACAGTTACGTCCCCAACTAGATCGAGACACTAAGTCCCTATTTAAGGAAGAAATAGCGAAACGACTTTCTGAGGTTGACAGCACGACTTCGCTTGAGGTAGTCTGGCACAACATACAGTTAACTGTAGACACAGCTGTAAAAGCTGTTAATAAGCTAAAACCGAAAGTTAGTAAGAGCCATTGGATCTGTACCGCCTCGTCTGAACTGACTGACGCAAGAAGACTGATTCTGGAAAGCTCCGATCATGATGAGGAGCGAAAGCTACTCAAACGAAAACTGACAAGAAGTCTTCGCAACGACTGTGAACAGTGGCGGGCGATGAAGGCGAAGGAGATGGAAAAGGCATCGGTGATTGGCAACACCAGACAACTATTTAGGCTTATCAGAGAAACCGGTGATAATAGGCAAATGATAAGTGAAACAATCTCGGAGAAAAATGGCACCATAATTAGCTCCCAGGATAGATGACTGGAACGATGGAAAGAGCACTTGAGGAGTAGCTTAATTGGCCTACAGCCACGATCAACCTGACGAACATTCAACACCTCCCTGAATGAGACATAGACACAGGTCCTCCGTCGCTAACTGAGTTTACTAAGGCTGTCAGTAATCTGAAACAAGGCGAAGCAGCGGGACCTGATGGAATGACTCCAGAGGTATTTAAGTACGGTGGAGACAGTTTACTGTCTGCATTAACTGAGGTACTAGGAAGCGTCTATTTGGGTCCAGAGTTGATTTCATTATGTTGGTCGCCAAGTAAGTTAGTAGTAACGAGGAACAGATGATCAACTGAACAGAACTGTAGAAGACGATCACCTTTGGTGGTTCACCGGCATGGGACACCATAGATACTACCAATTTACTTTTCTGAATGGTACAACTTGCCTACTTAAGCACTGGGGTCAATTGCTACGACTATGTCTGACAGCTTTACTTTTAGCAACAAACTAGACAACTTGTGATAGAACTCATTCTTTACTTCGTCCAAACTGCAGTCTGTTGAGGTACAAGTAAAGATTATGGGAAAACATGGACGGGTATCACAATCTTTGTTTCTCCTAACGGATCCGTCCACTCGGATAGCATACATCCAATAGGATCCAATCAACTAGGGATTTTTCCGCTCAATACTATCTCTACACCTGCAAGTCCTTGAGAACTAGTCAAAGAATCTCCTGACATTTTGTAGATCCACTCCTAGCCAAATACTTACACTGTTTCTGCAGTTCTACGAAATAGTTTATACTTATAAAAAATGAAAGATCATTAAAGTAAAATTATCGGAAGTTAAACACATAGATGCGTGATCTATTTAATCGTATTTCGTTGGGTAAAACTCCTTTCACTAAATGTCAGGATGTTTCTTTAAAGTTTCCAATTCAATAAAAATGGATAGCACTTATGTAAGTATGTGTAACAGCTGAGTTTGAAAAATACATGAGTTCGAACTTGAACACAACTATCAAAAAAGTTTCCTAATCTTGAATTCTCAGGTGAATTTAGAGCATATTTCATTGGAATGACAACTTGTTCGCGCTTCCTCTATGGGTTTCCGAAAGAACTTTTGTCTGAATATACTATAAGCTTAGTAAGAATTCGTAAACAGAATTCATTTTCAGTCAAGTTAGTATTAAAATGAATCTAAAAATAAAATGCCCTACTGTAACCAACTAACTGTAGCATATATTTTTCGGTATCTTTAATTTAATGCTAAACAAAACTACTTACTATCCCAAATGGTTGCGTACTTATCAACCAAGTATTCCACCATTGGAGGATATCCTAAAATCGTGTCAGGATGTTTGACTTGACACAGTAGACGAAGTGGAGTAAGGGGATCCTTACCAAAATCGCTTTTAAGAGTTATTTCATCACGTATGCTAACAAATGAACTAGCATGTATAGCACCAACAAGAGCCATATATACACCGACTTTCTGTTTAACCATTTTTGTAACAATTGTAAGTTGTTCCCTCATTCGGGTACAAACAGGATTTGTCGCAGAATTACAATCGTCGTTTCCATTATCAGGGTTGAAGGCTATGGAGGCAATAGAGGTCAAACTATGGAAAGAAAAGTGGAAAAGCATAGAATCAGAGGAACGGATCAATATATATATAAATATATATATATATATATATATATATATATATATTATTACTGACATTACATTTGAGAATAGATATCTAATCTCAAAAGGGTTTTTTAATGTGAAATTGGGAAGTACCAATGGAAGAAAATATCGTCAGTATGTATAAAAAGATACATCAGAACATGGAACAGGTATTGAAACTTTACTTCATAGCGAAAATCAACGGACAAGCGGGAACGTATAGTTTTTCAATACAGTGAAAGAATTACAGACCACTGGGAATTGAAACGCCTCATCTTCCTAGTTGACAGTCTTCCATTGTTTCCACTCATCGACTTGCAAACAATCTTTCAAACACAATTTAGGCAACAGGTTTATGTTCATAAGATCTTTTTGGCACATGGAAAGAAAAATGGGTAGCCTTGGAAATAACGAAGCCATTAGTTTATAAACGCCATTATGGAATACACAGTGTAAATGATAAGATTTAATAACTGATAGCTCTACGCAAAGGTATCAAAACAGATAAACGTAAATGACTTATAGAGATTATGAAAGAAATAAGACTACATACTGCTTTTAACAAAAAGTGGAACTAAAACGAGCGAATAATAAACCCTGAGTAACATACCAAGTTAGAAAGTCCAGGATGGCGCCAGAAGACAAATCAGATAGATTTGGTAAAGGTCGTCCACCTACCAGTGCCATCATGAAGCGATACAATTGTCCAGAAGGTACGTATGAGGGGTTAGGATATCTCTTATGCACTGCACGGTAATCTGATACTTCCTGTCTGTAAAGTTTTTGTAAAACCTAAAACAAATTATCCGGTACTTATGGTGAAAATTATGCATATATATGTAGCCAATAGTAATTCATAAAATAATTACTAGTAGTGCATATGATACTAAGACATTCTGTCAAAAAAATTCAGTTAGATGCATCCATCAACAAACATGACAGAAAGCCTTCATTCACTAGCTCCGGAAAGTTAGGAGCAGGTCGGCTTTCATTATTTCATCCGTCATCCATTCCAACTGCCTGCAGTTGAGACCACGCTTCCTTGATAAGTGAAGGAGGTAACCTCTGTCAAATCTCTCCCTTTGATGGTGATTGGTGCTGGTTGTTGTTCTTGCTATGGTTGGCTGGTTATCTTCATCACCTCCATCTTCTCTGTGTTCACCTGCAGTCCTGTCTTCGGTGCTCGCCTCTTCAGCCAGTTTGTTGCTTTTCACCTGCAAGTCTTGGAGTTTGCGTAACATTAGACGTAAATCATCCAGGAGCGAAATCCAGATCTAGAGTATTCTCATCGGTGGTTCAGTGTACTCCTGTCTCCTCACTCCCAAGCACAATCTGACGCATAATCCAGTCCACCACAATTAAGAATATCACCGTGGATGATAATAGACAGTTAGCCTGTTCCTACTCCTGTGTTCACCTTGAACGCCTCGATGAGCATCCCGTTGTGGATCACCTAATTAACGCGTGGCGTTGTCATATAGCCAGTTGCTGAATGAGGTTGATAAAGATTTGGGCACTGCACGCCGTAGTGTTGCAGTAGCTTCCGAATTGCGTCTCGAAGGCCTTTTCAAAGTCAATGAATTTGAGGTAGAGAGAAGCTTGACTGCCATTATATGCTTGATTCGATGTTCGGCTCCTTAGCTTTCGTTTCCTTGATCTCATTAATTTTAATCTTCAGTTATAAAAACTATTATTTCAATTAAAAGTTCTCCCCCAACTGTAAATTTAATTGACTAATATTTCCGGACCTCCATGTTCTAGTTAGGCAGTGTGTAGCGAATGTTTTGCAATAATCACTGATACTATGCAGTCACTTAAGCTCAAGTAGGTGCAATGGATTCAGAAAGTTGGACATTATACATGGAAATAATTAAATTAACAAGCGACGTTTCCACTAAATTACCATGTAATATCGTTACGAGAACCGTAGAAAATACACGAAAGTATGAATATCAAGGATTGTCTATAATAGACGACTCTGTCAGATTTAATTTCAACTACTCGACTTTCGAATGCTGTGATGGAAAATGCTGAACACTTTGTGCCTACAATAATCATATAAAATATTTTCCTTTGAGAGGATTGCTATGGAAATCGAGATAACTATAGCTAGTTAAGTTCTGAATTTACTTCAAACACAGTACAAATCAATGTGTCCAGTTATCACGGGCTTTTGAAGACCAAACTATTTGCTACTCGGTTGCAGAATCTTGTCTTAAATAATTGAGCAGCTAAACAAGAGTACTAAGAGCTTCTTAAATCGATAGTATTAGGTTAATCCTCCTTTAGTTCTTTGTGATCTTATTAACTCCCTAATTGCGGCATGTATTACTTATAAGAATTCCTAAACAATATACTGATGGTCTGTGGCAACAATCTTAAATAGCAGACTAACTTGAAAAGACGAAAAATGAAGATTACTGTGAAACAATACAGAAACTATGAAATGAAGACAACAGAAGAAGAATACGAATAACTTCTCCGAAATGAAATTTCAACGTAAGATTTTCATATCTTGCTATCATCGTACATAATTCTGCAAATAAACAATATGCTACCAAATACTGCTGTGTTCATTTGTATCCTTAAGTCAAACTTACTGGTGTTTATATGGCACAAAGTTTGTGCAGAACAGAGCACTAATGGGGATAATAAAGATAAAGTAACAGCTTTAAGACTTCTAGGGAGAGCTGACTCAGTGACCAAACCCTGTGCAGCTTACCTAAATCTACTCAAGTTTATTTAATTCTTAATATAAATTAATATCAGCTATAGTTCTCTATGGAAAATCGTTGTCACTGCAAACTTAACTGGTCATAGAATTTAAAATTATTATATGGACTTAGGGAAATTCCTTCATTAATTATTTCGTCTACATGGACCACCACTCAAGTGTAAAACAAAAGCACTAATACATGCCTACTTCATCATTTGTACAAACAGTTCAGCCAAATGCGTTTTCCAGCTTCGTATAACCTGACAAAAATGATTAAACACGGTAACAAAAGAATGCTGGATTTATGTGGAAACCACTTTCAGTTATCATATAACACAAGCTTGTTTTTATCCTCTGAAATCACCCACTGGTGTTGCTGTTTATAGAGGGGGATTATGAGGATGATAGTATGTATATGAAATAATGTATTGAGAATGAAAGCATTTTCCAATCTCCAGAACAAGATTTAAAATATTTGTCTGGATTCAACATAGAACTTGGCACTGAAGTGCAGCAGTTCGAGTATAAATATTTAAAATATTTATTGTCCTGCGTATTTCAGTTTATAGCACTGACTACAACCCTCAATGAACAGCAACTAATGTGAATACTAAAGACCTACCTGACTCACTGCTGCATAACTATTGTATCGTTCGGTGCAACAGTATCTGGCACTCCTTAACAATATCTACACATAGAAATATTATTGGCAAAATATGTATAAAACATACATCGATTGGTTCTTCAGGTTTTTCCTCAGGAAATACAACGCCTCGACCTACAGAAAGTATTCAATTTTGGGGAAAATTGGTTCATAACATACCTTTCAACTCACTTTCATCTACATCCATTAGAGCTTCCACAAATTCATCAACCTGAAAATCATTAAAAGTGTCATAATCTAAAGAATTGACTGACTGGGTTTCAACACAGAACTTTGCACTAAAGTGCAGCAGTCCGAGTTGCCATACCCCATGTATCACACAATGGTAGCGGAGAAAAAAGGAATTCAAAATGTAGGCGAGGAAGACAAGTAAAATGGAAAGACATGATAGTTTGATGTAAACGGGGGATTACAAACGGTGAATGCGAATGATTTTGAGCTATATCACCAATAGTGTCCAGACATTGGTACTTATTATCCCAAGGTCCCCAGCCACGCAGTCTATACCTGCCAAGGTAACTCGAACTAAGAAAGACTTCATGGACTGAGAACAGATTTCGGTTTGACCGCAACTAACTCTTTTCTCATCTAATCGTATTTCAGATGACATCGCCCGTCGCCAAAAGATCATAAAGAAAGTAACTGTCAAGACTAAATAATCTATGCAAAATATACTTGATATCATTGGAATTATTTCCATCATATAAATGGAGAGATGTTTCAGGCGATACTTCTTTTGATAATCATAAATGAAATTTCTGTTCTTAACCTTTCTAAACGTAAACATCACAAAATAAAAAACAACAAAAATGACAACCACGTGGTTGGGGATGACAGCTAATGTTGTAACGGATAAGAATGAACTTGGATTCGTCCTACTATAACTTCCACACACACAACAGTACACGAATAATCCCTCGAATACTATTCTTCTGTTTCACCAGCTACTTACAACACTGATGAATGTACAGCTGAACAACTTGGCTTAAAAATCGCAAAAATGAGTGTTTATCCCACATTTCAGATAAGCACCGTAGATGAGTATCAAAAAGCACGGAAAACAGGATAAAAATATCTTGCCAACTGATTCAGAATACTCAAAATTAGAGCTTATACTGGATTCCAGAAAACACAATACAGTAACCATTCTGTAAAGAAAGTGATATTATAATATAACGAATAACATAACATAACTTGCTGAACTTTGAAAAATAATACTTCTTACATCAATTGATGTTTTGGTTCTTACAAGCTGTCCCAATTCAAATGAAGAAAATGAAATATCTCTGGTGAAATAATGGTTTACACTTTTTGTAGTAACAATAACTAACCTTTCTAAAGCATTAATCAACTCAAATAACTCAGCATCTGACCATTTCAAACAAACGTTATACAGGTGTCGGTATTGTAGACTTTTGATGCCCCCGTATCCCATGAAATTCGTCTAAGTTTTAAGCAAATATATTGATTGCCAAGAAAGAATGCTCTACGTGCAGGACACTCCAGCTTTAATTACAGAAAACGAAGCTATAAAAAAGTCAGAAATATTCGGTTATGATTCTTTAGTCAC